TTTTTTTTTTGACTAAAGGTAAGCAGTGAACAAATTAAGAATAGTTACTACCTTCAAAAAGTAAGTTCTGAGGATTCAGTCTACTGAGTCTTCAGCCATGGATGTTTCAAGTGGCCAACATACTGGACCTATGAACTCCCTTCAGCTCCTAGCACTGACATTCCACTGTGACAGCTAAGGGTAACATTTTTGCATTCTGGTCAGAATAAAAATTGTATTAAGTGTCAGAGCAATATAGTATTTTGATTCTTTTAACCTATCTTCTGTGCAGCGAGGCAAATAACAGAAAGACCACTTACAGCCAATGTTCCTCAATTGATTATCAACCTTGTGACTGATTATATTGAAGTGTGTATTTTTTGCTTTTGATTTATTTTAGCACAGTCCCAGACACTGGTTATTGGTAGGGAAAGAACAGGTACTGATGCTGTAATACCTTCTTCACAAGTGGTCCAGCAAGTCTTGTCCCCTGTTGGTCTTACCTTGCACTTCCCGGAGCTCTTGATTCTTAAGGTTCAGAAAAGTCTTCAGGTTCTTTGTGAAATTCAGAGCCAGATCAGAATTCCCTGAAACTGAGTAAGGGACAATTGTTCGACCATATTGACGTAAATCCATTTCTCTGCTGGGCAGTTCGTTATTTGAGTCTACCGTTTTCAAGAGGTATGTAGTGACAAGTAAAATTACTGACAACTGTAGCAACATCAACTTCCAATTACGCCACGTGAATAATGCTCTCTTTATAAGCATGGCACAAAACTGCTGGCGATAAAGTAGAAACTAAAACGTGGAGAGAAATACAGCATTACAATGTTCGTGACCTAAGCAGGACACCCATATTAAAATCCACTAACACAAATGCTTCAAATGTTTATAGCAGAGTACAGATATATAATATAAATTTGTCATTGAATTGAACCCCCTGAATTAAGGTATGAGAAATCTGGTTTTGCAGAAGGTACTAAGGGACTGCGACCACTCTGAAATAGATTTTATTCATTAACATATTTATAAATTTTCGATCAAAAACCAAAATTACATCTAATTCTTGCATTTCATATAAAACCATAGTCTTTCTCTTTTCTCCATTTAAAAGGAAGAAATCCCCATGCGATTTATACATGTATGTGTACATATTTTTATGTAGCATATATCTCTATATCATTTATCATTTTCTAGGTTTCAGGACACACTGGTTCATAGTGAGAAAAAAGCTCCTAAACCGATCAACCAATATCTTCTGATTATAATAGTCATAACTCATTGGTTTTGTTTCACAATTAGACAAAGGGAAAACTTGTGAGAAAATGAAAGAAAAATTTTCAAAGGGATTCTAAGAAACAACGGTGAGAGCAGCAGCTGTGATCATATATAACCCAATTCTCCTGGGGTTGTTGTACAGTCAGGTCCACATCATTGCTGAACCCCAAACACCTTTCATGCCCAGATATTAAAGTATGTACCTTATAGCCAACTCAAACATACTCAGTTTACGTTCTCAGTGAATATGCTCACCCCAGTATTAAATTTAATGGTAGCAATTTCATTCAATCTGGAAAAGATTGCTCTCTCATAACTTCTGTACATGTGCACGCCTTGTCTTATTCTTTGGTACTCCAAGGAAGGGGTGTGGAGAGACTGAATGTCCATCTTGGCCTCTGCCAGTATGTTGACTCTGCAGACACACACAAAGAGAAACACAAAGCATTTCATTTTGACTATACCCTCTTTCTACTTTATTTAGGGAACATCAAACAAGGTTCCAAATCTGGAAGACTCCTTGGTCTTTTTCACTGATTGTAAAGAGGCAGCAGGTATCACTGGTCCTCAATATATCATCAGAAAAACTACTGCCAAGAGAGGGCAAAGTGTGCCACTCCGAGGCAACACGAGAAAAGACAGTGACAATCTATTATATGTTTCATTAAACTGAACTGATTTAAGCTAAAGGATTTACCTTTAATCAAGGTTAACTCACTCTTGGGAGTCAAACTGTTATTTATATTATGAAATGATGGGCACACTGAATAGCTTTTTAAAAAGTCTACAGTTCCTACTGCTGCCTATGTCTGAAATGGAACTTTGTGTGTGGATACTTGAAGAAATAGATATAGGTAATTATAATCTAAGAAGAAAAAGATCATGTAGAATAATAGATGAAAAATGTATCATGGGATACTGAGTGACAATAAAGATTGATTACATCAGTTAAAGAGGTAAAACCCTTGGTAGAAATACATGATTTGAAAGGTGTGTGTTCTCTAAACTACAGAGCCATCATAAATCTTTTCAATAGTTGTTAGCCTTTGTATGGGATGCAACCTTAATAGATCCTGAATTAGGACATTTGCAAATGGTGAGTAGATCAATGACCTCTCCAGCTTTTAAAAACCACATATACACATACATTCAGAAACCTGCTCTAGAATCTTAGTATGTTATGTTACATTTGCCGAGGAGTTTTGCCTCACTGTTCATCAGGGGAACCTGGTCTTTAGTTTTGTCTGGTTTTGGCCTTTTAAAATGTGTTTGGAAGTATCCCCTCTTTCTTAATTTTTTAAGAGTTTCAGCAGGGTAGCTATCAACTCTTCTTTGATGGCGTGGTAGAGCTATCTTTGAAGCTGTCTGCTCCTGGACTTTTGTTTTTTTGGGAGAGCTTTCATTATTGCTTCAATTTCCTGGTTTGTGATTGGACTATTCAAGTTTTCTCTTTCTTCCTGGTTCATTCTGATTTGGTTGTTTATTTCTAGGAACTTGTCCATCTCGTCTAGGGCATCAAACTTACTGGTACACAAATGCTCACTGTAATCACTATGACCCTCTGCATTTCTGTGATGTCTGTTTAACTTAACTTCATTGGTCCCCACAGGAGCTCCTGGTGCTCAGTTTTGAAGCCCAACCTAGAAAAGGTCAGGTGGACACATTACTGAAGTTTCAGTTTCGAACAACTAGTGTGGAATTGAAAATGGACCATGATGGGATGAAACACAGGATTGAAAACGGACCCATCTGATTAGAACTCCACCACTACCAATCGAACAGCTGGGCCTGGAACCACTCTTCTCCACACTGCTCACTTTTAAAGCCCAACCTCAGGAAAGCTGGCAACCCCAGATCAGATTTCTCTGAAAAAGTGGTTTGCTGTCAGCTTTATGCCCAGCATCTCTATGAGCTGTAACACTGGCTCCAGTCTCTGACAAGTCTGGCATCAGCCTCTTGTGCTGTTCCCTTTGGTGCTGACCAGTCTGGTGTCCATGGCTGGCCTTCAGCGCCACACCTAGTCTGGCCCTGAGACAGCTGTTGCTGACTGCCGTGGTCCCATTTCCGGGAAGGCCTTTGCAGAGACCTTTAACCTTTGTGTCTGATTTCTGCCTCTGGCCCTGTCTGTTTCCTGTCTCCCACCTTCTCTCACCCCTTTGTAAGTACACCCTGCTGTTGCTGAATCCTAGCCTGAGTCATCTCCTGCACCTGCACAGCTGAGAACCCACCAACCATGACAATTCTGCCTCCCTACCTTTCCAGAGTTTCAATTCTGTGAGTGTCATTTTACGGATGTATTGTTCCTTTCAACATCATATAGTATCATCCCTGACTCTTGTTATCTTTTTTAGTTAGAAATCTATTTTGTCTCATAAAAGTATGGCTGTCCCAGCACTCCTTTGTAGGGTTGTTTTCCAACACTTTATGGTGAGCCTATGTTTATCTTATCCCCACTTGGAGAGAGCAGAACGATGGATTCCATTCTATTTCTATTCTAATCTATTTCCTAATTCAACCAAAAACTTTGTGCCTTTTATTTGATGAGTTTAACCTGTTTACGTTTAGCATAGTTATTGACATATGAACGTCTGCTGCTGTCATTTTGTTCTTAATTTTGCTGCTCTATTTCCTTGTTCAGTTATTTGTGTATGTTCTCTTTGGTTTAGAAACAAGAGCTTTTTCTAACCTTTTTTGAAGGGGGGGGCTCTAGTTTATAATTGCCTTTAGCCTCTGTTTGTCTAAGGTCTTTATCCCTCATCTATGAAGGAAAGCCTTGAAGAACTGAGTATTCTTGGCTGGCAGTTTTCACCATTAAGTATTTTTTGATTACATAATTTTTATAGATTCACAGAACTAGAGCTCTTTCTATTATGGCAAATATATTCTTTTTTTTTTTTTTTTAGCTTGACTCTTTTTTTTTTTTTTAAAGATTTATTTATTCATACAGAACTGGGGTACAGGCCAGAGATGTGGAGGTTGATAGGATTCACCAGAGACAGAGTGGGGAGCAGAACAGGCAGATGATCAAAGTACACTGCTGAGGGGAGCAGTGGGCGGGTCAGGAGAGGTCTGCCACGCCATGTGGTCACCTCCAGGGCAGGCGGGAATCGAACTCATGCGGAAATGGCTTTAGCTTCTCAGTGCAGTGCTTTAACCTGCTGCGCCACCAGGGAGGGCCCATAGCTTGACTAACTCTTAAACACTCTGCCATAAAAGAAACATGCATCAAGGCCCAGGCTCAAAATCTCTATATTCTAGGCTGAATACATGGAAAGATATTAGCATAAAACATTGAAATATTTGAAAATGCTATAACTTTATTACTTGGAATATTCCAACATATGTGAACCTTGAAGACATCAGGTGTAATTTATATTATTTATAAATAAAATGGGTTTGCTCTCAAATGTATAGACCTTCTGGGTGGAGCTTTTTAAGGTTATTACTTACTTAAGGAAGACTTCTTCCATGGTTGTGATTGAAGCACCGAATCTGGCAATGCCCAGCTCTCCTTGTTTCTTTTCCAGGTCAGTAAACAGAGCTTCAAACCTGGAAAGGGAGGAGGAAGAAGAAAACCTGTTCTAGTGTCTGAATTTAAGCCTGAGAGACAAACTGCTATTTGGTGAAAAGTCTTCAAGTGCAGACTTTCCAACTCTAGTTGGCAAATGACATCAATAACTGGAGAAATACCTTGTTAGCAATATGCTTACTAAGCCTGCTAAACCTGGAAAATTGAATTGCTAGTCATCCAACCCATCCCAAACTCTCTGAACCTATACCTGTGTGTATACTTTTTTGGCAGGATAAATGATAATTCAGTTCCAATATTGTTCTCCAAAGTGGCATTGGGGACATAGGAGCGAATCACCGCAGAGATCTCTTCAGTGTTACTGTATGGTCCCCTCTCCATGACTATGTGATATCCAGCGCCTGGGGGGAACCATTTAACAGAACAAATGAAGCAATTTTCAACATTTTATTCTCCTTGTAAGGCCAAATTTGACTTGCCATAGTCCATATTACCTAGGTTCACAAGGAAGAAGTGGTGTGTCACAAGATATTTTGCTATGACTCTAGGAGGCTGACATGTAAAAACTTTTAAATGTTCCAAGAACCATGAATTGAATAAATAGCAACTTCCTCTATAATCTTAATAATTTTCTTAGTGACTAATAATTTAGTGACTATGTCTAGATACAGTAAATGTACAAAGAAAGGCCCTGTTATGTGGCTGTTACAGTTCTTGAAACTATAGCCTTAACAGATATTTACCTATTACCACTGACTGTCCTGTCAAGTGGGCATGATAATCTTGGTCCTGAGGATAGAGTATGAACAAGAAGATAAAAATTCCTGCTCTTATAAAAGCTACTTTCTAATCAAAGGAGACAGAGAAGAGGAACAGATCAAAGACACATTCTATTAGGAAAACAGAGAAGGAAAATGGGGACTATTGAAAGAAGGTTGTTAAAATTTAGACAGAGATCCATGAGGAGCCTAGGCTTCTGACTAGAGACGTTAAAGAAATCAGAGAACTATTATGCTTAATTAATGTTTTGTCTATAGAGAAAATTCTTTTCTAGAATTGGGAGAAAACATCAATGTTTTTAAATATAGGCATTTCCAGTGGTCATTGTTTGTATTAATGTTTTTTATTACAATTTTTAAAAAGTGAATAAAAGATCTAAGCGTAATTATCTTAGCTGATAATCTGGCTCATTTACCGTTCATCTGTAGGGAGGAAACTATTATTCAGTTATATAAATGTGGCAACCGATACCTAGAGAATGAAGTGACATTCATTAATTGCTATCTGTGGGAATCAAAAGCACTTCTGGTTTAATAAAAAATGATATGTGGCCCTCCCTGGTGGTGCAGCGGGTTAAAGCACAGCACTAAGAAGCCAAAGACACTTCAGCATGAGTTCAAGCCCCACCCCGGAGGTGACCTACACGGTGTGGCAGACCTCTCCTGACCAACCCGCTGCTCCCCTCAGCAGTGTACTTTGTCAGTTAACCTGTTCTGCTCCCTGCTAAGTCTCTGGTGAATTATCTCACAGCTCCTGCATCTCTGGCTGTACCCCAGTTCTGTATGCATAAATAAATAAATAAATCTTTAAAAATGATACGTAAATTATCTTACATTTCACAGGAATCATGATACATAAACTTCTCAGTTGCCTTCTATCGACAGTGATCCATAAGAAAATGCCTCTTTCTCTAGGGACGTGAGATAGTAGGAAATGAAGGCTGACACCAATGTGAGATTTCCTACACTATCAAAGGGCAAACACACTTCTGAGGCTTTTGATTACAATGTAAGAAGTCTAGTTTAAGAATAGTTGAATTTTAACATTTTTAAGAAGATGGGAACTGAAAGGACCTGAATGTCTCAAAGTAGTATTACACCTTAGTAAAATTAGTGAATGTCATTAGAAATTATTACAAATGATTTATTTACCAAAGCACCATTGTTTAAGTGGCTTATAATCCATGCCCACACAATTCAGATGGCATAAATCTGTGTTGTAATGGATGCAAAACCCCTTACCTATAAACGAAAACCTGTAAGGTGACCATAAACTTTGAACAACTGAATGGTCACATAAATATGACTTTAAATTTTTGATATATATATATGTAGGCCCCAGTTTTATATTCTAGAAAATACAGAATACTAAGTGTTTTGATTTAAATAAGACATGTCGATACTAAATAATCAGTAGAAAAAATATAAAGTGAGCTGAATTGACTCAAGCACCAAACAAATAAATGATGAAGCAATGCACTGAATAATCTCCATTTACGTGTGTATCCTCCCAATTTGTATCAATTCCTATTACTGCAGCTTCAGCTTAAGCCTGAAACAATTTACTGTTTAGTATATCAGTGTGTACATCAGGGTATCAGTATATGCTGCGAAGCCAAACATATATACAGATGGCTATCAAATTCAAGGACTGTTTTGTTTCATGTATACGACTGCTGCATGCTGTGTTATATCTTATTGTTAATGCTGCAGAGTCGCCTCTCCACACTGGGAACTGAATATTGGTTTGGCAAGTGAGAAAGTCAGATCAGAGATGATTACTTTCTCTACTGCCTCTCTTCATTAACCAATATGTCACTCATCAAAAGGAATCTAGTTGGAGGCATAACTGCATTCCAGGAACAAAAAAAAGTGTTAGCTGATACAAAGTGGGGAAGTAAGCATGACCTGTTGTTGGTTGATAAAAAAGTATTTCCTAAGTCTGAAGGTGTAAGTTGGAGAGCAAGTGGTAGGCACATATAGGGAATATCCATGCTGCAAGGAACCTTAAAAGCCAAGCAGAAGAGTTGAGATATAATTTACAGGACAGCAGATGTCACTGAAGTTTTTGGTATACAGACAAAAGGTAATGAAAGTCACACTAGAAGAATATTACAGCATCAGCACCCTAAGAATTATCAAAGGGAAGGGTACCATATATTTTTTTCAGGAAGACTGCAGAGCCACAGCACTGCAGGGACCCATTGACCATGATGGCAATGCGGTCACCCAGGATGTCCGCTTCGTCCATGTAATGGGTGGTCAGTAAGATGGTCCGATTGGTTTTATGTTGCTCAAGGAGATTCCAGGTGACTCTCCTTGAGACTGGATCCATGCTCGATGATGGCTCATCAAGTATAATCACCTAAAAGGCAAAAGGACAATTTGATAGCTATTGATAATTGATGTTATGTTAGTTACGTGGTAATGTGCTACTTAAGGGGAACACATATATACCAAGACACACAATCTAGACCAAAAAGGTGGTAAAACTCTAGAAAAAAAATCCCAATAATATTATAATGATAATTGTTAAAAACAAAAAAAATTAATTAACAACAAAAATACAAATTCCCGTGATGGTCATTGGCAATGATTCTCTATTTTTCATATCAACATGTAGGTTGGTGTCAGCTGAGTTTTTAAGATAAGCTGACAGGAACCGTTTTCAGTGCAACCCCCACCTCCCCTTCTCCCTCTCTCTCATTCTCTGTTGTACTACCTTGGGGTTCCCCATAAGTGCTATGATGATGGAGAGTTTACGCTTCATTCCTGCACTTAGTGACCTTGAAAATGTATCACGTTTTTCTAGCAGGTCAAAAGCAGATAGCATGTGGTCAATTTCTGTAGAATGCAAACTTTGGTGTATTCCTTTTATCTAAAAATGAGGAGTCAGAATTTACATGGTGCATCCAACTTTATCCTCAGAAAATTCTCTTTTTCTTACATGTTCATATTATACCTTAAGTTTTTTGCAACTATATCATCAAAACATTTCTTCCCATCATCTTCCTTTATGTCTAAAAGAGTTCCTAAAAAAAGAACTCTCAGAATTTATAAAGATACCTGAGGCTTATACACAGAGTGAGAAAAGAAACACCGACAGCCTCCAATACTATGGAGTAAACACAAACACCCTTTTACCTCCCACTGGACTCAACTATTAACACTGGGGAATTTTCAGAGGCTTTCGAATACCAGAAATTAAGATTAGGAAGGAGCAGAAGTGCCACTGAGCCAGTGTGGAGTTCACCAATTTTCCTTTGTGTGTCGCATAGTCTGAGTTCAAATGGACTTGAGCGCGTGCAGCATGAGACTAAAGAGAAACTCTCTAGTTCTGACTTGTGGGATGGAAAAGAGAAAAAACTGAAAGCGTGAATGTATGGGAGAGGTAATCCCATACCCTTCTGTTCTCTTGTACCCCATAACACTGTAAGTTTGGTGTTATGAGTAGTGGGAACCCCACAAGAGCCACTGTGGTGTGGGAGGGAGCCTTGTTCTCTGTTCAGCAGAGTGGTATCCCCAAAAGGACAAAGTCAAATTCAAGTGCTTTTTATCACCCTTTCTGTGCCTTCTTTCCACTTGTACATGACAAAGCCATGAAAGGGGGTGATCTCTGACTGCATCTTGAGAAAGGAATCAGGGGAAACTAGGAAACAGTAGGGAGAAAAGAGAAAAGAACAAGAGAGTGATGCCATAAAGTTGTTTATGAACTTGTTGCTTACCCCATCATTTGTATACATAGGTCTAATCCTAATTAGCATCAAAAACTTCAAAAATTATAGTGATGTGTAGAAATCTGCCCAGCAGTGAGCTGATCAATGGATAATACATGCGTGGCAGTGACTATAATAGCACTTCAAAGACTGGCACGGGATCACTGATGAGACATAAACAAGATGTACAGTCTCATGAGGAAAAACAATGTGGATAAAACAAAAGATATTTGACAAGATCAACACTCACTTGATAAAACTTCTCGGTAGAATGGGAATGAATACAACTTATTTACATAATAAAATCATATACAACCAACCCATAGTCAACATTATACTCAATGCTGGAAAACAAAGCATTTCTGCTATGATCAGGATACAAGGATGTCCATTTCACCACTACCATTATACACAGTATTAGAAATTCTACTCGGAACAACTAGGCAAGAAATAGGCATAGAAGGAATCTAAATTGGAAAAGAAGAAGGACAACCATCACACATTCACAGACGGCATGACTGTATACAAAGAGAATCTAAAAGAGTCTACCATAAAACTACTAGAAAAAATAAGAGACACTACAGTGGCAGAATACAAAATCAACACACAAAAATCAGCTGCATTTCCATATGCAAGCAATGAATTAAAAGAAACTAAAAACAAAAAGAATGAAACATCAAGAAAGGATAAAGCATGTGGAAATGAATGTAATGAAGGAGATAAATGACTTATACATTGAAAATTATAAGACTTTGTTAAAGGGGAAAAAAGATATAAAGAAATGGAAAGATACCTCATGCTACTGAGTGGGAAGAACAAGCATCATTTCATCATTTGAATGGGTATATTACCTAAAGCAATTTGGAGATTCAACATAAAACCAAAATGATTTCATGGAAAGACCACAAACCATTATAAATTTGTATGTAACAACATTGAGGCCCAAAATAACCAAAGCAATCTTGAGAGAAAAGAAGAAAAATGGAGTTATCATGCTTCCTGACTTCAAAATATATTATGCAGCCGTCAAAACTATGGTTTTGGAATAAAGACAGAAGTGAGAACAATGAAATAGAAATCCCAGAAGTCAACCCACAGAGATATGGACAGCTCATCTTTGACAAGGAAGCCACAGTCACACAATGGAAAAAATAAAGTGTCTTTAACAACTGTTGGGAAATGGATAGCCACATGCAAAACTGGAAAACTGGCACCAAACCTTAACTCCATCTACAGAAATTAATCGAATTGGTTTTAAGATTGCATGTTAAGACCTGACCTGACACCATAAAGCACTTAAAAGAAAACAGAGAGCCCATGCTCCTCGACATTGATCACAAAGACGTGTAGCAACTGGATTCTCAGAAATTGCTGGTGGGGTACAAAAAGGGAACAGCCATCTGGAAAAATGTCTGGAAGTTTCTTATAAAGTCAAATACTTCTATGATCCAGTCATCTTCCTGAGAGAAGTGAAAACTGATGTTTTCACACCAAAAAAAGTGTCCATGAAATTCAGATCAGTATTAGTAATAATCACCCAGCATAAAAAAAGAACTTAAATATCCCTCATTTGGTGTACTTTGGTGCATTCAAACATAAGCTGTTATGGAGCAATGAAAAGAAATACACTACAAACTGTTTGGAGGTTTCTCAAACTGCTAAACGTGGAGCTTCCATATGACCCAGCAATCCCACTCCTAGGTAGCTACCCAAAAGACACAAAAACACTGATTCAAAAAGATAACTGCACCCCCATGTTTATTGCTGCTTTATTCACAATTGGAAAGAATGGAAACAGCCCAAATGCCCAAAAGTGGATGACTAGATTAAAAGGATGTGGTATATATACACAATGGAATATTATTCAGCAACCAAAAAACAAAACAACACATGTCTTTTGCAGCAACATGGATGGAGCTGGAAAAGATCATGCTCAATGAAATAAGCCAGAAAGAAAAGGAAAAATACCAGATGGTTTCACTCATAGCAGGAGTATAATGGACCAGGGGAGAAAATAATAATAATAATAATAATAATAAACAGCTATATACCAGAGACATTTTATGGGGGTGGAGTGGGGAATGGGGTTAAAAACAGTGGGGGGAGGGAAATCCACTGATATGGTGATGGCACACAGGTGATTTGATAATGGAAAAATGCACAAAATGATGTAAAAATAAACTATTATTTATTAAAAAATACATATGCATGCTTTTATATGCATTCAACAGCAAGCCATTATGCTCAGTGTAAGTAGTCACTCTCAAAAGGGTTACATACTATGTGAGTCCACGATACTTTCAACAAATCAAAATGGTATTAATGAAGAATGGCCCAGTGGTCACCACCAGGTGAGAAGAGAGGACGACAAAGCAACAATGTGAGGTCGTGTGCGTGGGGTTAATAAAAGGATTTATCTTGACCGTGGTGTTGGTTACATGTTAATAGATCTGTATACACTAAACAAAAATGTTAAATTTAGCCAATAATTAAAAAAAACCTCTCACTCACCACAGAGTAGAAAAATAGGTGTTCTGATAGTGTCAAATCATTAAACAGCAAGTCAAGCTGTGGGCAGAAGCCCAAGTTTCTTTGAATCTCAACCATGTTCTTTGAGACGTCATTTCCATTGATATAGGCCTCCCCTCTGGTAGGCGGGTAATGGCCTGCAAGCAAGCAAAAGACATGCCAGGAACTGACACGTTGGGAGAATCTGATTGATGGAAGCCAGCATCTCAAATTCAGTCTACTAGTGAATTCTCAAAAGGATTGGCACTGTGTTCTGAAGAACAGTTCAGGAAAATACCAAATTTAGGTGATGGGAATAGCTATCTTTTAATTTCTCCTCTTGTCAATAAATACTAATTTTTCTACAAGGGATATGGATCATATGGTAATAAAAACATTCAAATAATTTGCTATACTCCAGCATATTTGTGTTGTAATTAATCAGTTACTATATTTGTAAATAAGTTATATTTTGTAGATGCTATGAAAAACAAAAGATCTAGTATATATAATGTTTTCCTCAGAAATTTAAGTAATCATTCCACTGGACAGCCTAGATACAACACCCTCCTTTTAATATACAGAGAATGTCAGTTTCAAGTTTCTTCTGTGTATCTCAACGAGAGTGTAAGATTTTTAGCATCACCAACCACTGTATTATCAATTACTTGGTAAAAACTGGCATGTAAATGTCTTCATTGAGTATATGCATTACATCACTTGGAGCATCTTGGCTTTAAACAATGAAAACTGTAATAATGTCAAGTTTAGGACTCCCTAAAATGATAACAACTCAACACTACAAATTACTGAGTGGTTTAGTTTAAAAGGAACCTGCCTGCCCTCGGCTCCTGAGAGGGCGAACTACAAACCTGTGAGAATAGATATGATTGTAGTTTTTCCAGCCCCGTTTTGTCCTAGAAGAATAGAGATCTGTCCTTTATATAAATTCAAAGACATGTTGTTTACTGCTATCTTGTCACCAAATTCCTGTGAGATAAAAGAAAAACTTGGTATTTGCCACTATCACTTATGTAAGATGAACACTGTGTCTTCCATTCATAGAAGAAACATTATAAAATCAACTTCAGGTTATAAAGAATGATGATGTTATGAGTAAGGAACATCTAGTGTGATGCCACAATGGTTTGGTATCTGTCCACATTTGCTAACGGAAATTGCAATCTCTCTACAGCCTCTGTATGAAGAGTATTACGCAGAGACTAGAGGCTTCTATCACTGTAGCAAGAGCCAGGAAAGCTCACAGTAGCGTCTGCCAGAGCTCAGATAAGCCGGGACAATGACTTCCCCCACAACTCTGGTGACACGTCTATGTGTGCCTGGGAATTCTTGAGACTACAAATGAATGCTGTCAAACTCAAACATGGCCCATTAGATGCTTCTGAATGGCCAATCAGCTACTAATAGTTTCTACACTTTTAAAAGTTTGCTTAAAAATAAAGAATAGTCTCTACTATGAGATATTAAAAGTAAACATAATTGATGGAGCAAGTAAAGACTATATTTGTAAAGATCTATTTATATTTATATGTCCTATATGACATGTAGAACTATATAGATTATGGATCACTCATTATTAAGCATCTCAATTATTTTCTTGGAATTCCCAGTTACAAACAATTCCAAAGCTTAGTGTATGACTTTCAGTGCTTGCAGGAAAGAGATTTTTGAAACAATACCTTGTGCAAATGTTCCATCTGGATCCCTACCACCAAATTAGTAGGCTCAGGCTCAAAATATTTGCTTTCAGTGTTCCTACACTGTGTCACTTCTTCTGTTTTCCTTTTAACTGCTGGTTTTCCAAACCAGTACAAGTGCTAGGAGGAAAACAAAAATGCAGACACCATAATGATCAATAAAAAATGAAGCACTCGGGCCCTCCCTGGTGGCGCAGCGGGTTAAAACACTGCACTGAGAAGCTAAAGCCACTTCCGCATGAGTTCGATTCCCGCCTGCCCCGGAGGTGACCACATGGCGCGGCAGACCTCTCCTGACCCGCCCGCTGCTCCCCTCAGCAGTGTACTTCGTAGATCTGCCTGTTCTGCTCCCCGCTCTGCCTCTGGTGAAGTCTCTCACCGCCCCTGAGCCTCTGGCCTGTACCCCAGTTCTGTATGTACAAATAAATAAATCTTTAAAAAAAAAATGAAGCACTCTATCTGTATAAATTTCTAAACAAAGTGATGGAGTCAGTGATCAGCCTTCCCTGTAGAGAGAGGTCCATGTCTGGATGACTTCACTTAAAGGTCCTAGCAAACACTTTCACAGAATTAATAACAGTTCTTCTACAAGCTTTCCACAAAGTAAAAGAAACACTTACTAACTAATTACAGGAAGCCAGAGCTACCCTCATCCCAAAACCAGACAAAGATATCATGAGGAAACAGACCAGAAGATAAATAAACTTTATGGACAGAGATACAAAAATGTTCAACAACATACAAAATACATCTAATGTTACACAAAAAAGAATGAGACAGCATGTCAAGGGGGCCTCAGAAATGCCTTCTTGGTTCTACCTGTGAAAAATCAATCAGTGCAATACACTATACTTACATAACAAATGGGGGAAAACCACATCATCATTTTAACAGATGTAAATGAAACTTTCTCCAAATTGTTTATGATAAAAAGATAATACTGCTAGTAACAGGAGAGAATTTTCTCAGAATTTTATAAAAGGTGCTTATGAAAAATAAAACACAGCTAACATTTTATTCAATGGTGAGAAACTTTTAGAGAATGCTTTTTCTCTAAAATCAATAAAAAGACAAGGATGACCTATTTTCATCTCTGCTATTCTCCATTGTATTGGGAATTTTAGTAAGAACAATGGGACAAGAAAAAGAAGTAAAATTTCTTTCCAAATTGGAAAGGGAAAAGTAAAACTATATTTGAAGATGACATGATCTACATACAAAAAGTCAGAAAGTCTCTTTTTTCTCCCCCCACCACTAGAGCTAATAAAGCAATTCAGCAGGGATATAAGGTACAAGGTCAACATGCAAAAATCAGTTGTGCTTTAATGCACCAGCAATGAACAATCAGAAAATGAAAATTAATAATTCTATTTACAATAGCATTTGAAAGAGTAAAATACTTAGTAGTAAAGTTAGCAAAAGAGGTGAAAGACATACCTGAAAAATATGAAACCTTGTTGAAATAAAGAAGGCTTAATAGAGCATTCATAGATTTAAAAAGTTAATATTTAAAATATGGCAATATTATTTAAGATTGCAGCATTATAGAAATAACAGATACATGTACACAAATATTTATTGCAGCCCTATGCAAATAGCCAAAACATGTCCTCCTTTATGTCCAAATACAGATTAGTGGAGAAGGGAACTGCTTTATATACATAAATCAAAAAATAAACAAATTCTGCTTTATACTACAACATGGATAAACCTCAAAAACATTATGTTGATGAAAGAAGCCAGACACAGTACTCACATATGATTTACATATTTACATAAAACATCCCGAATAGGTAAATGCAAACAAAATAAAAGCTGGTTAGTGACTTGGGATAGGGGAAAATGGGATTTCTTAATGTGTATAAGGTTTTATTTTGGGATGATGAAAGCATTTTGGAACTTGATGCTTTCATGTACGTTACAAATATACTAACATTCATTTTAAAATGGTTACTTTTATATGAAGTGCATTTGCATTAGAATTTTAATTTGAAAACAGAAATGAGGCACTATAACGACCTGGAAATCCCTGGTTTGACTAACTGTGGGTAAGGTTGTAGTTTACTTTCAGGGATTCTATTTTGCAGCAAAATGTGTGATATAAATTTCCGGGCTTTAGAAGCAAAAACTTAAAAGTACTAGTGTTCAAGAGTAGGGACAAGCTGGAATTACTATTAAATGAGATCATTTAAGGCATTTTATCTTCTTTGTAGAGCATGGAGGACCCAGACGTCCTGCTTAAATAATTCTAGTCACTGAAAGGAAGCAAGTATTAAGACCATAAACATGAAAATATCTGCTTTTCTATTCACTAGCCTCATCACAACTTTTACAGACACCGTTAGGTTTCTTTCTGCTCCAACCTAATTCTCTATGAACCACTTGTATTGAAAAGTGTTGTATTATAATTTTTAGTAGGGTTATCAATGTCTTATCTGCACATATTTTATACTGATGAAATATAAAATATGTTGATGAAAATAGTTTTGAACTTGACCTTTTGATTTGATTACATTAGAAATACCCCAAAGGACCTCTTGCAATAACAGTAGTATTAAAACTCACCTTAAGAAAAAAGTACCATGGTTGGGGCATGCCAAACTGCCCTCGAAAGACAGTTTCTATAAACCAGGTCACAAGGCCATACAAGAAAGCATCAAGTAAAAGCATTCCCATCAAATAGCCAAAGACAAGGTTATCCTCAAGACTGGCTGGAGTCCAAAGATTTTCCCACTTAACACCAATTTCTGAAGTAAAAAAGGAGATATTTATCACAGATGACAACAGTATGATTCAAGGAGCAAGGGAAAAAAAGGTTGACGTTTTGCCACTGTGAATTACCTATATATTGATACCTTTCGTATTCAGGCCACACAAGAAAATGGTGGCGTATGTAACACATTGGTTTCCTCCCTCCTTCTCTCAAATTCTACAGAATTTGTATACTGACGAAATCAGTAACAAACAAAAATATCAAAAAGTCAAGAAAGCATCAAATCTGTTCAGTCTCACCCCTCCTTTCTCCCTCATGCCTAATTCCCACTGAAATAACCATCAGGCCACACAAATGTGGAAGCTCAATAGCACTAAAGATGGATGCTGACTATGAAAGAGAAGAATAAAGGAAGTTTTGTTAAGATATACTACTTATGGAAAGGGGGAAAGGAAGTCACCACAGAATATAAGTACTTGTGTAAAATTGTGTGAATATTTTCCTTGATTTGGCAGGATGTTTTTAAAATCTTTTGTGTGTAAAAAACTTTTTGATGTAATCCCAATTTTTTTTGCCATATGGGTTGTTTCCAAAAACACCTCTATCATTGATGCTGTGAAATGTATTGCCATTGTTTTTGTATTTTATTGTTATGGGTCATATATATATATGTCCAATTTTCTCAGCAGTATTTTGGGTTTAATTTTTGTGCATGGAGTTAGTGCATGTTCCAACTTTATTCTTTTACATACATATGTCCAATTTTCTCAGCACTATTTGATAAAGAGACTCTCCTTCCTCCTTTATCATCATTTAGATATTGGCCTACCTATGGATTTATTTTTGGCCTTTGATTTTGTTCCATTAGCCCATGCATCCATTTTTATTCCAATACCATGCTGCTTTGTTACTTTATAGCATAGTTAAAACTCTGAAACATGATGCTTACATTTTTTCCCCTTCCCTTCATGGAATGAAATTCTCCCCCTGCCCCCTCAGGATTGCTTCAGTTATTTGGAACCTTTTATAATCCCATATACATTCCATTATTTTTGGTTCTATTTCCTTGAATATTATCACTGAGATTTTAATGGTGATTACATTAAGTAACAGTCATTTTGCCTGTATTAATTCTCCCTACTTACAAAAACATGGATTGTCTTTCTATACTTTTATATCTTGTTCTATCACTCTCACTAAAGTTTGTAGTTTTCATTGTAAAAATCACCTTAGGCTGATTCCTTATATATTTCATTCTTTTTGAAACAATGGTGAGTGGGACCATTGTCTTAATTCTTTCTGTATGTAAAAATGTTATAGATAGTTGTATGTTGATACTGTAACATGACACTATATTAATTTGTCTATAGCAGGATTTGGGTGGAGTATTCTATATACAGCATTAGGTCATTTATAAATAATGTTAGTTTTCTTCTTTACCAGTTGGTATTTCTATTTCTTGTTGTGATTGTTCTAGTTTAAACTTCTAATATTAAACAAAAATGACAGAGTGAATTCTGTGTCTTTTTCTTGAAAGCTTTCAGCTTTTCACTATTATTGTATCTTGTGATATATGGACTTTATTGAGGTAGGCTCCTTCTGCTCCCATTTTGTTAAATGTCTGTTTCATAAATGGATGCTGAATCTTGCCAAGTACTTTCCTTTTTTGTCATTTACTGACATAAGGTTCTTATCATTCCGTTTGTTGACATAGCAAATTAAATGGTTGCTTTCCTTATATTAAACCAGCCTTGCATCTCCGGGATAAAACTCACTTGATTGTAATCTATAATCTAATATATTGTTGAGTTCAACAATATGTTCAAGATTTCACATCATAGCTGGTAAGGGAAATTAGTCTGTAGTTTGTTCTTATGCTGCCTTTGTCTGGTTTTGGTATAGGGTAATGTTATATTTTAATCAAGATGGGTACAAGTTCTTTAAAAGCTGTATGGTCGTAGGCTTTGCTTTTATGAAGATTAAAAAAATTAAATATATTTACTTAAATGTATATATGTTTTACATTGTTGTTCACTTTTGTATAAAGATTGATTTTTCCTCTTAGGTGTAAATCCGCATAAAATTCTACCACCAAGTCACCTGTAAGCTGTCACCATAGTCTATGAAGATTTTTGCTCTTTCAATTTTCATGACTGAGATTGGTTTATGAAACTCTTCTGTTTCTTCCTGGCTTAGTCTTAGAAAGCTATATGGTAATAGAAATTAGCCCATTTTTTTCAAGGTTATCAAATTGGATGATGTATAGCTATTCAGCAGTAGTTATTTATAATCTTTTGTGAGATCTCCTCTTTAATTTCTAATTTATTAAAATTTTATCATTTTTTCTTAGCCATGCTAGTGTTTATCAATTTTGTTAATTGTCCAGGTGGTTTTCCAATGAACCAACTCCTCAGCCTGCTGATTTTTTTTTTAAAGATTTATTTATTTATGCATACAGAGCTGGGGTACAGGCCAGAGGTGCAGGGGCAGTGAGAGGTTTCACCAGAGACAGAGTGGGGAGCAGGACAGGTAGATCAAGTACACTGCTGAGAGGAGCAGCGGGTGGGTCAGGGGAGGTCTGCCGCCATGTGGATCACCTCCAGGACGAGGATCGAACTCATGCTGAAGTGGGTTAGCTTCTCAGTGCTGTGCTTTAACCAGCTGCACCATCAGGGAGGGCCCCTGCTGAACTTTTTATATACTCTTGTTTTCTACTTCATTTCCTTCGACTTCTGTTTTTATTTCCTTCATGCTACTAGTTTTAGGATTTAGTTAGTCCTCTTTATCAAGTTGCTTTCGGAATAATATTTACTATTTTCTTGCCTTTTAATGTGGGCCTGTATTGCAACTGTCTTCCCTATTAAGATTGCTTTGCTGCAGTCCATAATAGGTAGTATCCTTGTTTTTATCAGTCACGGTCTTTTTTGACTTCTTTCATTCTTTCTTTAATGAATAACTATTAAGCAGCCTCTTGTTTAGTCTCTATGTATTTTTGTCTTTTGCTATTTTTTTCTAAGTTGACTTCTAGCTTTATGGAATTATGGTCAGGAAAAAGTATTCAGTACAGTTTCAGTATTCAGTTTTATTGACAGTGTTTTTAGTATCCTCTGTCTTTAGTATAAGCAATTTAATTATAGTGTTTCTGTTTGGTCCACTTTTGTTTGGAAATCTTTAGGCCTCTTGGATCAGGAGGTCTGTTTCATTTTGCAGAACTTTTAATGCCTTGCTGACCAAGGTTCTAACTATTATTTGTATGACCAGCTCTTGTCATCTGGGAGCCCCAGGTTCAAACTGACACTCATAACTTCATGCAGACTCTAATGATAGCCACCAAGACAGTTCATAAACTGCTGTCAGGCTCCCTATTTAAGGGGTATAAAGCATTTCACTTTCCACACCAGGATGCCTTGTTGCTATTCTACAGTAGCTACCTTTGCAGGTATACCTGCTATGGTGAATACCTACTATTCACTTGTCTGCTGCAAGCCTCTGAATGCTCATTCTGTAACTCTCCAGTGAACCACCCTCTGTCCTGTATACCAATTCTCCCTTCTCCAATATAGGCCTCAGTTGTAATGTCTTTGAGAAGGTGCGAGCCCTTCAGTCCAGAGTAACAGAAAGGCTTGGTATGTCAATCACCCCTCTCTTGGTCATACTATTCTGGTATTGCTTAAAACTTACTTAAATTATAGTTTTTCCTATCTCTTTTCAGTGTCTTCCCTCTTGATGCATACGACAGCAATCTGTTCACCATTCAGAAGTAACTGTTTTTATTTAGGTGTAATTTGTTTGTAAATATGTAGAGAAGGCAAGCCCAGTGTCTTCATTCTTCTTTCATCTTGCTAGACTCTGAAATAATTTAATAGTATAAAAGGTATATAAATTTGAAACACTCCTCAATTCATAGGATTGAATTAGTTAGCCTGTAACTTATCTAGTACTATATCCGGTATTATGTGCCCTGGAAAGTTAGCAGTGTGAATGTCATTTTGGAAAAGAAATCCATTCTAGAAAGTGAGAAAAGGAAGAATGTCACCCCTCCCCAAGTCAGAAAAAAATATGTTAGATACAGAGGACAGATACAGAGGACAGGTACATGGGTCTTAGTTTTTTATTTTAGGGAAACCCTGGAGAAATATTCAGATCGAATCACCCAAGACTGTATGCTGGTGGCATTTGTACAGGCAAAGGCCTATATATAAATGGACCTGACAAAGTGCTATTGGCTTTTCATATCTTAAAGGTCACATTTGTATCTTGTTTAACTTTCCAAGTGTAAGGAAGGATGAGATTCAGAAAGTGCCAGTGGATGATAGAGACCCGGATGAGGATTTTAAGGTAGGGTAAATAACCAGAAGTGTGTTTCCAGTAGATGAGGAACCAGCACATTATTCCAGACATAAACAGCTACCCTTCAGTTTGTATGGGTTCACACAGTATCTCAGGTTAGAGAGGAAAAATGATTCAGAATATATCACATAGGTCTGAGGTAATCATTTCCTTAACCATAGAAATCTCATAAATTTCCACCCCCATGCATATCATCTTGAAGAATACAGAAGGAAGGCAAGAGAAAGACTGACATACTCGAAAGAAACAGGATAAAATACTGGACTAGACTTGCACTTATTTTCTTCATCAACAGTGTAGAATTTGGAGGAAAATTAGATGTAGGAAATAAAGCCATTACATTTGCTTTTTACATGAAAATAGTATAATATATAATTAGAAATAATGTAGGAAAAAATGCATGCACTGTTGGTAGGAGAATAAATTGTTTTACTCTTTCTAAAGGTTATAGTAGTAATGAAAATAAGATATTAATACCTTATTAGATAATATTTTTATATCTAGGGTTTAAATACCGTGTCAGCAAATAAATGTATACTGTTGTGGGTAACAGCAAAAAATTTAAACCACTTAAATGTTCATTGATATATAAATAATTATAATATACCGTCACATGAAATGCCAGATAATTTTGTAAAAAAAAGAAGCACTACTCTGTGGAAAGTGGTCAAATATATATTTTTAATTAAATAAAGTTGTAGAACAGATGGTTTAATGTTAACTGGGGATGGACTGCAGAGAGATGGGAAACTTAATTTTTCCACAATTCTACATTTAGATGCCCCCTACAGGCACATGAAAAAACAATAAAATAATGTGCAGTATCACTTAGTATAAGGGAAAGGCACATAAAAATGAGATCACTTAGCCCTGTGAGAATGGACTATATTAACAATACTGGAAACAAAATATTGGTGAGAATGTGGAGAAAATGATTAACATTTTGGTGGGGATATAATTCGGGCAACCTCCATAGAAAACAATGTGGAGATCTCTTAAAAAAAAAAAAGAAAGAAAATCCTGTATGATCTAGCAGTACCACTTCTAGGTATTTACCCAAGGAATATGTAAGTACTAATATGAAAAAGATTTATGCATGACAATTTTCAAGGTAACATTCATTATTCACAACAGCTAAACTCTGGAACCAACCAGAATGCCCGTCTACAGGTGACTGGGTAAAAAATTTGTAGAATATATACTCAAGGGAATACAGGCTATTTTAAGAGATGATATAGGGGTTTTTGGGGCAAAGTGGATGGATTGTGAGGTGATTATGCTAAGCAAACTAATTTGCAAAGTTAGACAGTTATTAGATGGTTTCATTCACTTGAGAAATATAAATCACCAAAGAAAACAAACTGGCAAAGCACAACAAAAAATAATCTTTAGTCTTTATGCAAAATAGAGTGGTTACCAGGAGGACAGGGGAGGAGAAAGAAGGTGACTGGGAATTGGCACTTGGGTGTGGTGGATGGTGAGTGAAGTGTGTGCATGTATGAAGATGTAAGTTTGTAATTCCCAAATTATTCAGTTGTGTAAATGATTGATAAATAAAATTGGAAAAAAATTTTTACCATCTGACTCCCCCCCATAATTGCATATAAAAAATAAATGTGGGGGTATATAATTTTGATATCATTTTCTTACCTCACTCACTGTCTCACCCACACTGTCTCAACTCACCTTTCTCGGAATCAAATATCAAAGAGAACATTTGCAAGGCAAACACTTACCTTTTATTTCTAACTTGAGCCAAAGATTAATCCCCAGTGACAATGCAACATTTGAGCTGAGACAAAAAGCCACCTTCTTGGTAAGGGTTATGTGCCCATAGTTTTGTGTTAGAGAGTTAAATGGGTAAAAGCTGGCAAAATAAAGGATGCTTCCAGTAGAAACAGCCATGCGTGCTGGAAGTAAAGAAAATATAACGGCAATATGCAAAACAATAAATTATAAATTACCTTGTAGTACAATATAGCAATAGAATGCAAACTCTATGAGGGAAGGAAATTGTCTTTTTTGAGTGTGTATCACCAGGCTGCCATATGTCTCAATAAATGTACATTTGGTGAATGAAGTAACATACAGGAGACACTAACATATAGGATGTTTATCACTTGACAAGTACTTATCATCATATTTACAGGGTTGACTATACACGTCCTATGAAAAATTCTTTTTTTATTTTTAAAATTTACTTATTCACAATCACTAGACTTGAGAAATTAAAAATGCATAATATCACTATTAACAAAAATTGAATATACTTAATGCTTTCATAGAGTTTCAAGTTATAGGTAGAAAAAAATTCCTTGGATTTTTTAGCATATATACTCTAAGTCATGATACTGACAAAAAAGAATATTTAAATAAATACTCAAGAGTTAGATATTGTGAGAATTTTAAGCATGAGCTCCTATAAACTAGGAAAAGAATTTTAAGATTATTATCAAGATGATATAAAATTAAAATTGATGAAGTAAAAATATGCCCAAGTAATATTACAGTGACATGAGTAATCCATTTTTTTTCTTAAAAAAAATCACTTTAGGGCCCTCCCTGGTGGCGCAGCGGGTTAAAGCACAGCACTGAGAATCTAAAGCCGCTTCCACATGAGTTCGATTCCCGCCTGCCCCAGAGGTGACCACATGGTGTGGCAGACCCCTCCTGACCCACCCGCTGCTCCCCTCAGCAGTGTACTTCATCCATCTGCCTGTTCTGTTCCCCACTCTGTCTCTGGTGAAGCCTCTCACCGTCCCTGAGCCTCTGGCCTGTACCCCAGTTCTGTATGCACAAATAAATAAATCTTTAAAAAAAAATCACTTTATGGGGCATTACTGGCATATAAAAAGATGTATACATTTCTAAACCATAATCCTGCTAATATCACTCGAGTTATCTTCATTTTCTACATTTAGTTATCTACATGGTAATCTTACCCATAATCAAGTGCTTCCAACTCTCTTCAAAACATACAATCGATCAGTTTCACTACATGTCACTACTCAACCCAAACCAAGCATTAAATATTGCACGTGAATTTATAACAGATTCTAATACTTCTGCTTGGACCCTCTGTAGATACCTGACTGACCTTTAGCAACAAATACTGAAGAATTCTTTTGTCAACAGTAACAACTCCCCATGCTTGCCTTAACTCCCGCCCTCTGCCCTGACAGGAGACCTCAGTAGAGGAGACTAGCTAGTGTAGTAGACCAGCTAGTGCAGAAGACCAGCTAGTTTAGACCAGCGAGCTCAGAAAGGATAACTGAAAACACCTGACTGCAGCTGAGAGTTCAAAACTTGGTGACAGAAGGTAGATAAAAGAAATACACAGGCACCTTGGGCTACTTTATCCACATGGGAAATTTTCAGTCTGAAGACATATGCTAAGAAACTGAGCAGTACTCTTATTAACTACAGCTTTGTGGAGGTGAACATTGGCCCTGCCCAATGTGCTGGTTAGACGCTGCTTCAGGAGTAATGGTGCTTGTGGTCCATTCACACACACTGGATAGATGGAGTTCCAGTGTTCTTTGCCTCCATTTCATGTGCAGTTAATTCATCCTCTATATTGGAACATAAACCCCAACCAGATATAAAGGCGCTAGACGATGCTCCCATATATGATCCTATCTCGATCAGTTAAAACAGAAATGCTGTTCAAGGAGAAGACTTAGACTCACCTTTATTGAAGAATGTGCTAACCATAAAGGCAAAGAATATTGAAGAAATGGCATAACACATAAGAAAGACAAAGATGAAGCTACTGTCACTGTAGCGAAAGACGGGTTCACCAAAAATCTGTAATAAAAGATTTTATATCATGTAAGGTGCACAGTAAGTAGTGTCATACAAACACAAGGCAAGAGAGAGAAAACGATGGTCTCAATAGTACAGATCACACTGCTCTCAGTGAGAAGGAAAGTAAACCTCTTCTTACAGAAGGGTTTAGGTTCCATCCAGAGGTTTAGCAGGCTTGAGTCTCCACAGTGGAGATCATAAAAGATATATTTCATCTTCCTGGCAACTGAGACCAGTACGTCCACACTGTAATTGCCTTTTTCATGCCAAAGCGTATCTACAGCATGCTGCAATCCATGGAGCTGCCTGCAAGCAGCTATTAACACCACAAAGCCATTGGTTCATAGTGTGACAAACTAAGTGTTATTTTTAGTTTAGTGTTTTTTTTAGCTGAGATTTAAAAAATGAAAGCAGTGTCAAATACAGATCAAGCATTTCTAATGAAAATGTAGTTCATGGACTGAGATCTATTCAAAATATAAAACACGTTGGGAGTTTGACAAGAGTACAAAAAAGAATGTGAAATGTCTCAGTTTTTACACTGGTTGCACGCTGAAATACCATTTTGTTTATAAAGGGTTAATTAAGGCAATTCCAATCTTCCTGTACTTTTTAAAATTTCTAGTTGCTACTAAAATTTAGTATTACATATGGGGCTTGTTGTATTTCTATTGATAATACAAAGTTAGATACTTGCCTTGGCAAAGAAAAGCACACATATCAAAGAGATGATAATGATATAAAAAAAGAAAAATGTGAGGAAGTGGGCCGCCCAGATCATCCAATTTCTCAGTCCAATTGTGAGCTGGTACTCCTGGAAGAAATGCAAAAGAAGCAAAAAATTTTTTTGGGTGCCCTTGCTGATGTTGAAACTCTCACATGTTATCTAGAAGAGGGGGTAATGAGGTAAATAGGCTTAAAGTGTAAGGGTTTGTGCTAATACAGCTAGCATTTTAGTTGTATTTGTGATTCACTTTTACTCTGGGCACTAGAGACTTCACATTCCTATAGTGACCTTCTTCCATCTCTCCCCCTGCTTTTGGGTTTTCCCTTTCTGATGCTCCCAGAACAGACTACCTCTGACATTCTCCTGGCTTAGAAAACTGTTTGGTGACATCATATTTGTTCTTCTTGTTCTAGCTACCCAACAACGCTTGGTATGTCAAAATAATCCAACTTTCAGTTAAAGAGGTCCAAAGGCTTAAACATTACAGAAATGTTACCAGAATTTGGGTTACCTTCAATCTTTTTTCCCTTTCTGACACAATGGATCGCACGATGGAAAGTACAGTTGGTGAGAACATGAGAATAAACATCAAAGGGAGGAAAGATTTCACGGCCCACACTAATACATCCTGAGAATAAGATGGGTATGGAAATCGCTGTATGAAGACACTGATTCTACTGAACAGATCTCTAGCATTCTTCTGATGATACAGCATGATGGCCTTATCTAAGGCATGCTGTAAAGCCAGGAACCCTTCTCTGATGTATCCTGTGTGAAGAAAACCAATGTTGTCAAGTAAAGCAGACTAACGAACAGTTCAGGTACATACAGAATAAGGCAACTGAAGTAATTCACAGCTTCTCACCTAGAGAATCTACGTTACGTTTACTACTGTATTTTTTTTAAAGATTTATTTATTTATGCATACAGAACTGGGGTACAGGCCAGAGGTGCAGGGGTGGTGAGAGGCTTCACCAGAGACAGAGTGGGGAGCAGAACAGGCAGATCGATGGAGTACACTGCTGAGGGGAGCAGCGGGCGGATCAGGAGAGGTCTGCCGCCCCATGTGGTCACCTCTGGGGCAGGCAGGGATGGAACTCATGAAGAAGTGGCTTTAGCTTCTCAGGGCTGTGCTTTAACCCGCTGCGCCACCAGGGAGGGCCTTACTACTGTATTTTAAAAGAGCTCTTGGAAACTTGTCCTTATTATTATTTTTTAAAATAAAATAATAAGGGGTACAAACCAGAGGTGCGGGGGTGGTGAGAGGATTTAGCAGAGACAGAGTGGGGAGCAGCACAGGCGACTGACAAAGTACACAGCTGAGAGGAGCAGCTGGGTCAGGAGAGGTCTGCCTCGCTATGTGGGTAGCAGCTGCGACTCGCTTGCAGTGCTGCGTCCTTACTGTTGCGCCACAAGAGGGCCCTTGTCCTTATTTGTTACCTTCCTGTTACTGAGTTCATCTGCTAAAGCCTTGGTCAGCCAATCCTATGCTTTCCCGCATCCATGATTAACCCCATAAAACCAGACTTCTGCCACTTTTAGCCTGACAGTGAGGCTCAGGGCAACAGTCACCCCTTCTCTGTTATAAGATACACAATAAATGTTCCTTGTTTGAATCCTTAATTGGGTCACTCTTTATATTTCATCATTATCACCAAAGCTGGACAAGGTCGAACAATACCAAGGCCAGCTGAACATAATTACTCTGGGAACCTATGAGTTTTTATATAACAGTAAGGAATACTGCTTCAGCTGAATCTGATTTACATTTCCCCTAAATAAAATGTTTAACAAAAGTAGAGGTTTCCTATATGTGATTTACATTTACAAAAGGATGCAGCTGAATTATATATGGGAGCGACAAAGGCTGGGAAATGCAAAACACAAACAGAAATATTTCAGAGAAATGCAGAATGGCTCCCAAGGAAAACTGCCTCAGTGAAACCAAGGTAACTAGACAAAACCAGAGTAAAAAGGAAGCTTGGGGCTTAATTTGTTTTTCTTTTACTAATTGTTCAAAGCTGGGTTTGAATAAGGGAATTTCAGGTTTTAATAAAGGAGCATTTAAAACTATAAAATTATTTCTGAACATTGCTTTATCTGTAGCACCCCAAAGTTCATTCTTATATGTCAACATGCCATGTTTTCATTGTTCAACTGAAATATTTCAATTGACTAATGGATTATTCAGAAGTGTGCTGTTTGATGTCCAAATATTTACAGTATTTCTAGTTATCTTATTGATCTCTAATTATACAGTCTTTGGAGAGAAACAGTCTTTATAATTTCAGTGAGATTTGTCTTACAACAATCCAGTATAAGAGTAATCCTGGTGAAGAAGTCATAAACAATTAACAAAATGTGTATTCTACCCTGTTAAAATACTCAATTCTACAAATGTCAATCAGTTCAGGAAAACTGAAGAGTTTATTCATATTACCTACATCTTTATAATTGTTTAGATCTTCTACCATTTTCCAAAAGAATATTAATATTGCTACTTATGATTGTGAAATTGTCCAATTCTTCCTTTAATTCTGTTAAGTTTTCTTTATATATTCTGAAGCACTGCTGCTAAATAACTGCTCTTTTCCTATCGAAATCATCCTTTTTCTTGAAATGTACTTTATCTGACATGTAAATATCACCTCCGGCCACCTTATAAGTTGTCTTTAATAAAAAAAGACTCTTATAATAATTTTCTTACATATTTTTTTCCATCCCTCTCCTCTCATTCTTCAATGACTCTCATTATAACAACATAGAGCTTTTAGTATATCCCTATATTTATTTGAAATTCCATTTTAAACTTTTTTTGGGGGGGCATTTCACACTGAATACATTTTATTTTTTCTAAGTTCATTTACTCTTTCTTCTGTCATGTTCACTTGGCTATTAAATCTTTCCTGTATTTTCCAATTTTAGACTTTGAGTTTTATGCCTTTTCATCATTTCTATTTTTCTGCTGAAATTTCCTCTCATGTTTATATAGAAAGATATGTGTGTTTAAGGATCTACTCACCAGGACTTCCTCCATCATTATAATCTGGGTTCCTGGGTCCTAAAGAAGAATGAATAGGAAAGAGTAAGGATGTTTTCCAGCCTATGTTGTCTGGCCAGGAAAGAGTCCTTTGCATCCTAAGAAAACGCAGATGATATTTTACCTAGAAGTAGCAATAGAAAACAAACTATGTTTAAAAATCAAAACTGAAAAGCAAATATTAGGAATAAAGGAAATTTGAGTCTAGATGAGGCCATGTCTTTTAAATAATGAGACTCTGCTGATGTCAAAATGATTCTCTAAGCACAACATGTTCCATTCCATCTACATTTGAAGTTCTCTCAAAATGTAGCCAATTCATAATAACTGGATGGCCCATGAATACATGAAAAGTTTCAATGTCAGACAACGAAATAAACTGGGAATTACATCAGCATCACGATGACCTAAAACATTTCTTCTATTTCTCCTTGTCAATCCAAAACTAACAGATCAATAATAAACAAGGCTTCATCTGCTCATTGCCTCAGGATGCTGGTGAGAACCATACATATGCATGATGAAAAGGTGGGTGTTGAGACACACACAGAGGTGGCAGTCTGGCATACAGATGGTGGGAATACCAACCTAACCAAAGGTTCAGGAGACTGGAGAATAGAAATGATGAATGGACCCATACCCTTGGCCCAGAGGACTCTTAAGGTGGCAGAGCCAGAGGTACTTCATGCTAACCAGCACCCCATTAAGGAGGACACCTGGGAAAGCACTTGAGGACAACTTCCCACAGCAGCTGCCCCAATAGATCTGTACAGGCACCTTGACGTGTACCCTGTTCTATTTCCATGGCATCTTGATATTGCTGAATTTCTCACATGCTGAATCTTTGTTAATTTCTTATTTATAGCTTCAATCTCTTCCTTCTGCTAATTAATTTTATTCATTTTCTCTTTGAATTTTCTGGTTTTTCTTGTATTTCTGGGTTTCTTTATGGTGGTTGTTTTGAATTCTCTATTGGCTAGGTCACTGTCTACCATGTCTTTAAGTATGGATTCTGGAGAGTTGCCATTTTCTCCCTATGGAGTCATATTACCTTGAAGTGTCTGTGTATTTCACTGTCTGTGTATTTGGTATCTCTATCATCTTTTAAAAATTGTACTTTTTGAGTTAAAAAAAAATTGCTTTTGGAACAAGTTACAAAACCAAGATAATTGCTTTCTCATCAAATAATTGATGATGTCATGTCCTGTACCTGCACTATACGATTATTTAAAGTATTTTGGAGATAAAGAAATTGTTATATTAGAGATTCTATTAGCTCATTAACCATTGTATAAAATTAAATGCCTGGAAGATTCGAAAAAAAAAAATTGTACTTTTTGTTTGATCAGCAAGGTAGTAATTAGTGTTTACATTTTCTTTTTCAGTAGGTGGTACTATGGCTTCAATTTCTGGTTTTGATAGCTACTGTAGGTACCAGAGACAACTTGAGGATGGTGGGCAAGATGCTGTTTAGTCAGCGGGGATGGAGAGAAGCACAGGGGGGAAAGATGCTCTTGTAGATGAGCTGTGAGAGATCTGGCAGCATGTGCATGGCCACAGTGAAATCCCACCTCTTTGGGACCCCCGATCTGTGTAAACAGAAGACATATTCTTCTTAAGTTCACATGGAACATTCTCAAATCCAGACTGTATATTAGGATACAAGTCTTAATAAATTTAGGAAACCTAAAATCATATCAAACATCTTTTTCTGGGTCATAATGTTATGAAAGTAAAAATCAAAACCACAAATAGTGGAGATCAAACAACATGCTATTTAACAATTACTGGGTCAACGAAGAACTCTATGGCGACATAAAGATATCTGGAGACAAATGCAAATGAAGTTACGTGTTACCAGAAATTGTGGCATGTAGCAAAAGCAGTGCAGAGGCAAGTTTATAGCAATACCTTCCTACTACAGAAATAAACCCTCCACACAAATCTAATGTCACATTAAAATAACTAAAGAATAAACAAAGTTAAGTTAGTAGAGAAAAAAATAGAAATTAAGAGCCAAAATAAATGAAATAGGTAAAAAGATCACCCAAAAGATGAATGAATCAAATGAAAATTCAAATAAATAAAGCCAGAAAAAAAAAAAAGAAATTACAACAGACTTCAAGGAGGAAAAAAAAGTATTATCTGATAAACATAGATGCAAAAATTCTAGAAAACTGAATTTAGCAACACATGAAAATAATTCTAAACCATGATTAAGTGGCGTTTATTCCAAGGATGAAAAAAAAATGGTTCAGTATGTATCTGCTTCAATGTCTGAAAATGTACTTGTTAACACAGAAATAAAACCTCTCGTCAAAAGATATGTGCACCTGGAGAAGATACCCACTCATATAGTGCAATAGTCCTAAGTAAAACTCAGATCAAACTGATGGAGTTCTAATTTCAGGTTATCACTGACTACTTTTTTGATCTCGCAAAAGTTAATTCATCTCTGGCATACTCACTGCTTTCAATCACAAAGTAGGTATAACTGTTCTAATCTTGTCAGTCTAATTTTGTTTTTCATAAAATAAAAGTTATAAAGTACTTGTCTAGGGGAGCTACTTTCTCACTGCAAGTGTTCAGGAAGTGGTGCTTTTGACAAAGATCATATGACTATCTCAATAAACACAGAAAAACATTTGGCAATATTCAATGTCCATTTATGACAAGCACTCAACAAAATACGTACAGAAGGAATTTACTGCAACATATAGAAAGGCCGTATGTGAGAAACCCACAATAAACATCCTACTGAGTGATGAAAATCCACAAACATTCCCCTAATACCATGGGCAAGGAAAGAGTGCCCATTCTCACCTCAATTATTTAATGTAATAGTGGAAGTCCTAATAACAGCCATTAAGCAAGTACAATAAATAAAAGGTAGTTGGAAGGAAGAATAAAAACTACCACTACTTTTTCATATGACAAAACTCTAGTACACTATTAAAAATAGTAAATACAGTAAAAAGACAGGCTATACATTATCCAAAAATCTTTTATGCTTGAATATGTAACAATAAGCTAGCAAAGAGAAATTAGCAAAAACTGTATTTATAACTGCATAAAAATACTAGGAATAAATTTAACTAAGAAGGTTAAGACCAATACATTAAAATCTATAGGGCATTTTGAAAGAAAAGAAAAAGACAAAGAAATGAAAAAATATTCCATGCTCATATATTGGAAGAATTACCATCATTATAACATGATAATATACACAGAAAATACCTAAGACTATAACAAAAGCTTATTAGATATAATAAACAACCTCAGAAAAGTAGTAGACTACAAAATTAATATACAAAAATCTGTTAGGTGTCTCTATACAAATAATGAAATAGCATACCAAGAAATCCAGGAAAGCAATTCTATTTACAGCCAATATAAAAAAGAATTAAATATCAAGAATAAATTTACTAAATAAGTGAAGATGTATACATGATATCGATATTTATGAAATATTGCTGTACAAAATCCCAGAAGACACAAAGAAGTGGAAAGATCTTTCATGTTCATGGCTTAGAAGAATTAACATAGTTAAAATAGCTACAACACTTACAGTAATATTCAGATTCAATACAATCCCTGTAAAAATTCCAATAGTAGTCTTCACAGAAACAGAACAAAAAATTATGAAACCTGCTTGGCAGTACAAAAGACTACAAATAACAAAAATACTTCAGAGAACCAAAAAACATAAGTGGAGGTACTCTTACCAACTTCAAACTATACTACGAAGCTGCAGTAATTGTAGGCAAAGTTTCTCATGAATCTAGGACTGTGTATATGGAAGGTATATTTTTTCCCTATCAGCATCATGTAGTGGTTTAAATGACAGGCATTAATGTTATTTAGATCTGCGTTTAAATTCTTGCTCTATTGTATACAAGTAGTTATTTTAGGAAAAGGTAGCTCTTTCATTTATAAAATAGGGTTAATGATGTCAAACTAGAAGTATAACCACTATTAATTTAGAAAACTCTAAATAAAATTTCCTCACCTGAAGTGGCAGGGTATCATTTATGTGGTGAAAGGCAGTGTCAAAAACAACAACAGCCAGCACTTTAAGTGTTTTATTGTCATATTCAATGTATCTCTCAAGTTCAGTTTCTGAAGAAAATCCATTAACTGTAGAAAGGCAAAATTGTTCACTTAAATAAAAGTATCTTATAATCCTTCTTAAGAGGGGAGACACTATTTTACATGAACAAAAGCTTATCCAAATATTAAACAGTTAAAAACTTTGTTTCTCAAATATTGGTATTACAACTACGTAGTGGGCATTTAAGATTCAAAACAATTTTATAAATTTCACTATAATTTAAAATAATAACCATAAGCCATATATAAAATAAATCATTGGTCACCAGGGAATTGCAAATCAAAATTACAATGAGGTAATACTACACTGAGATATACCCACTGAAAAGGCTACGATAAAAAGACAAGTGTTAAGAAGTTCTGGTAAAGATGTGCAAAAGTTGGAACCTTCATACAGGATTGAAGAGGATGCTAAATAGTCTAATAGTCTGGCTGTCTCTCAGAAAGCTACACACAGAGTTAGTCTATGACCTATTAATTCCATTCCTGGTATATATCCACAAAAAATAAAAACATAGCTACATAAAACTTGTAGATGAATATTCACAGCATATCATTTATAATAGTCAAAATGTGGTAATACCCACATGTCCATGAACTGATGAAAGATAAATCAACTCAATGCAGCATACCCATACAATGGCATATTTAACAATAAAAGCTATGAAGTACTGATACATGGATGAACCTTGAAAATAGTATGCTTAGTCAAAAGCCAGTCACAAAGATTACATGTTGCATTTGCATAAAACTTGTAAGTTACATAAAATAAGCAAATCTGTGATGATAGAAAATAGTGTTTCCTTAATTCTGGTGGAGGCAGAAGTTGTGGGGTGATGGCTAAAGGTTTGTGATGATAATGCTGTAAAATTGTGATAATGATTGCAAAACAGTAATATGTTAAAAACTACTGAAATGGTTAAATGCGTGAATACAGGCATGTCCATTATATTTCATAAAGCTATTTTAAAAGAAACAAGACAAATCAGGAGGTGGAGATTATGTCAAACTGTACTGGAAAAAAAAAAACACCTCAATTGATAGCTCAATAGTTGCATTGGGTAATAGAGGAAGAAATCAGTGAAGAGCAATCATTATAAATGTCCTAGTCTGAACAAAAGAAGAAAACAAAATTGGAGAAAAGTTGCAAAGATCCTCAATGACCCATAGGACAATACAAAATTATAGTATTTGGGACATCACAGTCCTAGGAGAACAGAAAGAAAGTCATGTTGAAAAATAACTGAGAAATAACTATTGAAAATCCCCCAAATTTGGTGAGAGATAGAAACTTACAGATACAAAAGGCTCTTTGAACTCCCAAATAAAATAAAACTACACTTAACACATCATGATCAAATGTCTGACAAAGACAGAAAAAAATATGGAAAGCACCAGAGAGGAATGACACAGTACCTATAGGGAAATAAGAATCAAACGACTGCATTGTTCTTTTCAGAAACCAAAGGAGTCAGAAAGTGGCAAATATTTTTTAAATGCTGAAAGAATAGATGTCAACCTAGAACTAGATAACCAATGAAAATATCCTCCAGAAATGAAGGCCAGTAGTGATATCAGATGAAGGAAAACAAATAAAATGCATTATTAGTAGATGTGCTCTAAATATTATTAAATGAAGGTCTTCAGAAAGAAGGAAATCAACATCAGAAGAAAACTTGCAACTTTGAGAGTGAAAAGGGGAGCAAGAGTTACAGAAAATATATGTGTAAATAGTTTTTTTAAGTTCTTTAAAATATGAGCGAATTTTCTGGTAAAGTTTTCTACTTTGGTAAAAATAAAAACTATTGCATTAAATATATATATACACTGGTGAACACCTGCCATTAGAATAAAGTGATAAAATGTTAGCTGTAAGTAGGTTGTGAATAATTAAATATGCACTTTTTAATTCTATAAACTATCAGGAACAATGTATAGCAGAAATACAATTTATCTATTTTTGAATTTCATGGACTTTGCATTTGTGTGATATCTAAGAATTCTTCATCTAAGTTACAAAGATTTTCTTCTAAATGTTTTATCATTTTACTTTTAGATTTGCAATCCACTTTGATATAGATCTTGCCTAAGATGTAAGGTTTCACTGTCTTAGCTATTGATATTCAATTGTTCAGCTTCAGTTGAAAAGATTATTCTTGCACTGAATTCTTCTGCACCATTGTAAAATAATTATCTTGTCATATTCGTGTAGATCTAGCTTTAGATTCTCTATTCTATTTCATGGTCTGTGTGTGTATACTCCTCGACCAATACTGTACTGTCAATATAACTATGTTTTCATTTTTAGTTAAGATCACAGAGTGTGATTCTTTCAACTTTATTCTTTTTTTCTATTCGGCCTTAGCTCCATCAAAAAACAATAAAATTTACAGAAAATCTTTATTTCCAACCTTTTATACTGATGTTTAGATTCCTCTTCACATTCTCAGTGATCTCTTTTACCACATTACTATTAGAAGGCACATAAAGCAATTCCCAGTCTTCAGAATTTTGGAGAGAAAAAGGCAGAGAACTGATGGATTGAGGAATAAAATTGTAAGCTCGAGTATCATGTATCTTAGTATTTACACGGAATAGCAAAATCATCATTGGAAAGGTCAATGCTGTTAAGACTTCCAATAATAAATTAATGAACCGCCTCCTCTACAGGAATAAAAAGATGGTGTTAGTTGACTTGAGACATTTAAAGCAAATGGATATTCTAATATTAAGCTTCTGCCAGTTTCACTTGGGAACAGCCAGAGTTTTCTGAATTGTTTCATACCACTCTGCCTTCCCTCTCATTTTTTGTATGGCTCACACTATAAATTATTAGCTCAGTTTTACAGATTTGTGAAAGCCACCCACAGCTTCGGAAGTGATTTTCAAAAGCACACACACAAACTGAATTACAACAAATGGGCATTGTGGACATTTTCCAGGGTTACCTACCTTGAGGGTAAAATTTTTCCAGAGGAGCACTGCAAACTGTTTGAGTATCAACAGATACATTCTTCTACAAAGAGTGTTCAACTCTAGGGATGGAAGAAAGGCTGTTTAATGTTCAGTTACTAGCAAATGGTAGTGTTAATTTTTCTCTTTAATTAGGGAATAAGTAATACAAATAAGCATTGCTGTTGAATACAACCAGAAGACTGAAATTCGTAGAGCTAGGCACAGCTTTTGGGGGAATCTTTCCCCTTTGGGCATTTCTAATTTCTGAAGAGCTGGCTAAGGAGACCTGTTGAGCCGCACCTCATGGTGGAGTGACAAAGTTAAATTCCCAAGCCTTGGCTGGGGCTCTACTAGCAAACTTTCATCACTGGTAGCTGTCAAGAGTTAGAGTAAACCAGAAGTAGATCAGTCACTGCAGTGACTACAAAAGACCTCCCAACTGTCTCAGCCTCTGGGTTGGGCTGAGGTGTCAAGTAGAAGCAAACAAAGAGACAAACAAAAATGCCGATTAGGCGGAATTAAAAATACCCTAAATTATTTCCCAAAACAATTTTCCATATATAACCTGGAACATAATAGAAAAAAGAAAAATAAACACAGAAAACAATGCAACGACAAAGACAAAGGGTCCGTATGTAAAAGTTAGCAGCCTAGAGTCGTTTAATAACAATAATTGCTATGTTCAGAGATAAAAAAAAGACTGAGAATTTGAGAAGAGAAATGGAAATTATGACACTGGCAAGACAAAGGTGGAAAAAAGGCCAACGGCAATTCCAAAGCAAAAAACTGTTGTAACTGAATTGTATCTTACATATAGCAGACGTAGGTAACTGAAGTAAAATTAGAAATCCAGAAAATTTAGAAGAAAATAGTCAAAATGAGACATGGAGAGAAAAAGTGTAGAAAAATAAATAAAAGAGTAAAGGGATACGTATAGTTAAAATATTTAATGAAAATACAGGGGGTATAGAGAGAATAAACAGAGGGAACAGGAGAAAATATCTGAAAATTTCCAAAACTGATGACATACATATAATCACAGACACAAGATGCACACGAACCCTAAGCAGGATACATGAAAAATTTCCACTTAAGTAAATACTAGTGAAAGTGCTTAAAATCCCATCTCCAGCCAAGTGAATCTTTTTTTTTTTTTTTTTTGCAAAAGCTACTGGCTCGTCTTTTGGCGTCTGCCATCAGGTGGTGGGCCCAACTTGGCCCCCAACACACTTCATCTTAAAACGGTGTCCATTCCCCTTCAGTCTTCGCTTTAAAAGAGAGACAGGATCACAAAGAACCAGGGGACGGGGCAGTTCTCGAGTTTGCCCCTTCCCAGGGAGAACTACAGGTGGGGGACAACCCAGCAGGACGAAAAGCCAGACATAAGTTACAGTTTCTGCTCTTTGTTGTCTGCTGGCTGATTCCTTGAGCTCTTAAGATGGCCGCGCTTCCCGCTTGAAAATCCTACAAGTGCGCGCGCGCGCGCAAAGGCCCCGGGAGGTAGGAAGGCGGATGATCACTGCCGGCGTGTTGGGGTGGGTGTCTAGGGGGACCCGCGTCTCCTAAATATCTGCATAAGCGCTACACGCAGATAAATGTCACTTCATTTATAGACAGGTCGTGTTTTGATTGGGAGGGGAGGAGCGAGGACTGGGGAAGGTGTCTGTGGCGGTTTTGGGGGGGGATACGAACTTCAGGTCCTGCGCTCCAAGCCCACACGGTAGGTCTTCCAGGGCGCCCCGGAGAGAGCGAGGCCAGGGGGTCCCACACTCACCGCTCAGGTCTCAACCACTTACGACTTCCCGCAGGAGAGCCACGCTCCACCAGGCGCCGCCCCCCCTCCCAACGCTCCCCCCAACCGCCCCTGCGGGTGGGTTTGCAGTCCAGGCCTCGCGCGGTCCCCACTGGCGCTGCCCCTCTCAAGGATCCCTGGCGGGCGAGAGGCCGGGGCTCGCTGCTGTCCCGCGCATGCGCCATCCCGCGCGCCTGAGTCAGCCTCATGGGCTGCCACGTGCTGCCTCCCTGCAGACTGCTGGACGCCCTCCCACGTGCTCCTTGAGTCCCGCTGCTGGAACCCCAGACTTCGAAAGCCCTACCTGACTGTCCTTTCCTTTCCTCCCCAGGCTCATCTCCTCGGACACTACTGGGTGACCCCACAAATCTTCACAACCTTCTGAGATCTCCTTCTGTCTGCCACGGTAATCCTCAGTGTGGTAGGAAGTTTAAGGAGATCCAGAAAGTTCTATGACTGTTAAAAAGCAATGGAACGAAGAACAGTTCCTGGATATCACTTTACTACTCCCAATACCCTGCTGAACAACCATCCCCAGAAGAGCAACTTTCTATCGTGCGATTCCACAGTATCATTCTACTTTGCTCCTGTCTGTGTATTTGGAGAGGTGTTAGATTTCTCATGATGCTTAAAGGGGACTCCATCGGTCCAAACAAACATGAGTGGAGCTCCCTGTCGTCCCCTTTCTACTCCATTTCTCCATCTTCCTTCTTTACCAAAGATGGAGCAAGAATAGGTAAGAAAACACACTATTGTAAAATCATTTTTTGCTTGATGTTTTTAGGCCCTAAATGTTCTTGGTACAAGGATTCTCATACAAGTCTAGAATATTGGTATAGTTTTAGAAATAACCCAACTTACCCCTTAACGTCAATCTAAAGTGACTTTAGATTGTTTTGTGTATGAAATTGGTGTGTGTGTGTGTCTGTCTTTAGCAATAGGAAACATGATTTGCTCCAGGCTTACTGCTTCTCTAATCCATAACTTAGCTGAAAACATGTATCGCTGCTTTTCAAGCTGTTCCAACTGACAGCACCATCATTTCAAACTTTCAGAATACTCATAGATCCTTTTCCTCACCATGATTAATGCTGCTCTTTTGTATACGTATATATAGGAGAGAAAAAAGGAATTTCTCCCACTCCTCAAATTTGTACACTCTGGATACACAGGTCACTCAAGGAAATCTACAAAGAAGGGAAATGTTTCTTTTGGAGAAACTCTTTATTGCAAAAATATATTTACACCAAGATATATACACACCCAGGAATGCCCCTGTATGTCTCTCCAGGAGCAGGAGAGACTAGCTGAAGGAACTAAACCTTGTGCTTTTTCTTATCATCACCTGAGACCTCTGGGGTTGCAAAAGTCAGGAAAACTTGTTCCAGTGTTACCTGACTGATGGAATAGTCTTCTAAACTGTATTGCTCTTTAGCGTCCTCCAAAATACCAAACACCTTTAAAAACAAAAAATGTACAGTTACCACTGCGGTTGTCCCCCCCAACCCCTTCCCCCCACCCCCACAAATCTCTCCTGCCTTCCTCCAACTCCTGCCAAGTTATTGTTGGCTGGGGCACAAAGCAAGGACAGGGAGATGGGATCAGCCACTACAGGTAATGGAGTGGAGGCTGGTCTCTGTTCTCATCTCTGCAGGGACATGCACTAATCGTGGGATTAGGGAGTAAACATCAGAACAATTAAGTTTTAGGGGAACCTTGGGAGGTAACCTAAGTCTGCTCCTTCAGTGCCAGATCCCATTACATATACCTAAATATCAGGCATTTTCCCCATCATTAGCGCTTTCTTAACATTTGTTACAAGGGCCTGATTTCTACAGTCACCTTTCCCCAGCTATTGTCCTTGCTGGGAATGTAGTAGGTAAGGATCCTTTGATTCTCCTTCTGTAATACACTGCCTAAGAAAGGAAGGAGGGGACAGGTGAACAATCTCTCAGGTTTTAACTTACATGTGCTACTTCTACTTACTATTGGGCTGTAGGTCCCAGAAAAGTCATGATATATTTTTTCTTTGAAAAGAATAATAATGATGGCAATGGGTGATTCGGTGATGGGAAACCCAAGGGGATTGCAACTGAGATGGGAAAATGCACAAAAAATATGTAAAAAATAAACTACTATAAAATAAAAAAATGAAAGAAGTTAATTATACTTGGCTTTATAGCAACTTTGGATTTCAGCTCTGCCTGTTAGTTTCTACATTACTTTTGTAAATACCTTGCATTTCTGGACCTTAATGTCATTATATGAAAAATCAAGGTGATAATAGTATCTGGCTCACAATGGCATATAAGAGATCAATTGTAAGTTGGACTAATATTTATTCTGTCATTCTTTTATGACAGCCCAGTGTGAACAACTGAAATGTGAATAGGTGTGGTTAACACAAAAGGCGACATTATTGAATAGCCCATTCTCTTTGGTACACATGACATGGTGAATTTCTTCTGCAGGTTTACTCTGAGTACATGGAGCTCACTCTGAGATTACAGTGAGCAGCCTTTCAGGCACAAAAAATTGAGTTCCCCAGCTCAAGGTTAAAAACCCGAGTCTTCTACAATTCTGTTATTACTTGAAGACTTTGTTCCTGAACATAGCGCTGAGGACATGCACCTGCAGCATTTCACCCTGGTTGTGAATGCAGCTGTAGGTACTCTTTTCATGATTACACCCCACTGGGAAGAAGAAATCGAACATTCAGACCACTGAAGTCAAGTCACGTGCTCTTGTTTCTCTGACAGGCGTGTAAGAATCCACTGGTGGATTGAGGGTGACAAAGGTGGTAATCATTTCTAATTAATCAATTATAATTTAGAACAAACGATGCGTTATGCGGATCAATGCATATTTACAGATTATTGAACACTGAGTTAACTGGAATTAAGCTGTTTTAAAATAAAATACATGTTCATAATATTAATTTAAATCCACCTATTGTCTCCATGATCATGATAGTTCTATTTGTGTGTTTGAAATATTCCAAATACAGGCGTTAAGGAATTACTCAAAGAAAACTCTGATGAAACGACCCCATTTAGGTCAAGTAATAAGAACCCAGCCTCTGATTTCAGGAAAAGCCCCCAACACCTTCACTGTTACTGTGGATAATTTTAAAATGTATTTTTACCTATGTATGCTTCCCTAAAAATGTAGGGGGGATTTTCCTATTTTTGCACTTTATTTGAAATGAACCCTCTAGTGTAGATTCTTTTCTTTCTCCTTCTTTCACTCAATATTGTGAGATTCCTTCGTGTGGTTGCATCTAGCTATCATTCATCCATTCCTTTCTAAACAATAACATGGTGTAGGAATAATCTATGATTTATTTTCCATTTACCGATAGACAGGTTTTTGACTATTGGTGCATGTCATGACTCAAATACTATATTACTTATCTCCTTGCCACAGAATTATTAAAAACCTTGCCCTACCCCTGTCTTATGCTTGGAAAAGAGAAGTAAGGAGCAGAAAGTAACGGTTGTCGTCTGTGTAATATTGATTGAGACTTGTTTATTGACTTTACAAGGCAGAAGCAGACCTTCTTTTGAAAGGAGAGAAAAACTTAGTGGTTATCATTTGCATTTCAATACCACATACTGGCAGAGACATCAAAGCATCCTCAGTTGGAGGATACATGAGTAATAGGTGAATATAATGGAGAATTGTGCTTAAAAATATGACTTTAGAGATATAATTTATAGGGAAAGCACAGATCCCAAAGCGCTCTATTAAGGGACACAAGAACTTAATGAAAACCTTTTTTTGTGAAAACTCCTCAAGATGATCAGGCACAAGAGGTGATAGAAACGAGCATCTAGAAGGAATTCAGTGTGTAAGATTGAGAAATATCGACAACTCAGAGCAAACAGTACTAACGACATAAAACAGCAGATGTGATTTAGCACATCTTGGAGTTAACCCCACCTAAGTTACCTGCAAACGTCATTCTGATGAAAAATTTTACATCATCTAATAAATTCTCCGGTGCATCCATCTTGACCTGGACCTTCAGAATGTAAACATTGCCAAACTTGTTCTTGAGGTGTTGAGGGCTGCCCAAGCACATGAACTTTCCCTTCACCATGATGGCCAACCTGGTGCAGAGGGCGTCACATTCCTCCATTCTAGCAAAACAAGATCCAGAGTGAAGTAAGCTGACAGAGCTCTCCTTGGGAGACATTCTGTACTTCAGCATAAGGATTTTATGATAATTTCCAATAGGAAGTAGAATTTGCCAATCAAAGTTGAAAGTTAGGAAGCAAAAGTTTTTCAGATGACTATTAGAATAACCAAACAGACATACTGTGGGTTTCCTGTCCTTTCCCTACTCTTAGTTGTTTGATTCAATGAGAAATCTTAGCTATTCTGTTCATTCAAATCAATAAGAAACACACAACTCAAGCAAGTTCACTGCCAGATATTCCCAGCCACAGACAATTCCCTTCTTAGCCACTATGACATTTGCCCAACTTCCCAACGAGCCACACCTGTGGGAGGATAGAACGATGGCTTTGCCACTTTGACGTGCCAGCGTCACAGCGGCCCGCAGCTGGCGCCGGCCTTCGGGGTCCATGCCAGTTGACGGCTCATCCAACAGGATGACTGAGAGGTTTCCCATGAGGGCAATGGCAGTACTCAGCCTACGTTTGGTTCCTCCACTTCATGGTGATAGAAGGGGATAGAAGAAGGGATGGGGAGGACACACAATGGTTATTTACAGGACAGAGCACAAACATCAAATACTAAGTTTCAGCAAACACTTACCCTGGATCTACACAATAAGTGATTAGATGTGACTTCAACAAGTAGCAGACCCAAACATAGGTATAACCATTTGTTTTCACTTGAAATATAGGGAAACGACTTTTATGTACCTAGTTTTGCAGCACTGTCAGTAGTGTTGAACAAAAATCCCACTGTAATTCAGAGGGCCTACATCCCTCCTTGACTGGGAAGTAAAAAACCATCTGGACAGTAGGAAGAATAAGATGCTCCTCACAGGCCATAGTTCAAACAGGGTAACATTTTGAATATTATCTCTGCAAAAGGAAGACATGGCACTACCTTGGCCTTCTGGCATCTGGAACCAAACAACTCAAGAAGGAATTTCACAGATGATTATATGATGGAGGAATTTAGGTGGGCTGTGGGCATTTATTTAAAACATCAGAAACATAGGCACCTTCACATCAGCAGCAGAATAAAAAGATCAGCATGACTCACCTGTAGGTACTGATAAGCTTGTCAGCATGGGGCTCCAGCTGCAGCGAACTCAGCCAGCTGTTAACATATGGCTGTATCTGGGACTCAGAGACTCCCCGTAATCTAGCATACATGATCATTGTTTCCCGACCAGTCATGTATTCCAGCAAGGCATTAGACTGAGGACAATATCCAACTCTGGATTTTACCTGGTGACAAGAATTGTCTTAGTAAGGACCAAGTCATCTATCCCACTGAGTATTCATGGATGAGACACAAGACCTGCACTCAGCACCTCAGCACCTTCTCTGGCATATGTTAGGTGCACTGTTGAGAAAGTGTGCCTTTTATTTTAGCAAATTCAAAAAACACAAAAGAACTCTTAGATTATGCTCTTGTTGTCTCACTATCTTCAAATTTTTTTCTCTCCAGAATTACTGACTGAATCAGTAGTATCAACCTCAGTGCCTATCATGATTCCCATTTCTTTCCAGTCATCCACCTCCAACGTTGCAAACCCATGTGATTGTGCTTCCTGCGTCTTACAGATTGTAACAGCAGCTTACCTTCTGGATATTTTTGGTGATGCTGAAACCCTCAATAAACACCTTTCCAGAAGTAAGAGGCTGCTCTCCAGTCAGAATTTGGAAAGTAGTAGTTTTTCCAGCTCCATTGAATCCAAGTAATCCAAAACACTCCCCCCTTTGGACTTCAATGGAGATATTTTTCACAGCCAGAGTGACTGGGCACTTAAAATATATCTAAAAAATATAGAAAGTGATGGCACATGGGTGACTTGGTGATGGGAAACCCGTGGGGATTACAATTGAGATGAAAAAAAAAAGTACAAAATGATGTAAAAATAAACTGTTATAAAAAATATATAGAAATCACAGGATAGTAATGATTGCCTGTAGGTCAAGTCATAAGTACCACAAATCCCTATTAACCACTACTTAAGACAGTTTCACAAAGAGTCTTCTTTTACACTGAGGGAATACACATAGATCCTCAAAGAACCAGAGTGGCCCGTGAAGGGAATGGCAGGGTTAAGAATGCAGCCAGCAAACAGTGGTCAATGATGTTACCTTTGTGAGTTCCTTGATAAGTACTGCAGAACTCATCATCAACCGAGACTGTCCCAGAATTTTCTTTCTTTCATTTTGTACATCTTCATTTTCAGAGTCTCCAGATAATTCCTTGGACACTTTTTGCTATATTTGCAAGACAAGAATTACAGAAATGGATGGTCTTTAGGCAACTGTCTGGGTTGGATGACTTCATGAATGATAAACTTACGTGATAAACTTATGGAGAATCTCAAACAGGTCAAAACAAAAGGTCTGAGTCATTTCAAGAAATATCTTACTGTTACATCAGCAGCTCGTGTATATTGACTTAAGTTTTGAATAATAACTCATTAGGAAAGTGAGGGTGGGAGTTATTTCATATACTAGAAAAGGTGTGAATTAACATGGTAAGATATGTAAAGCAATCTTTAAGACAGAATTTAAATCGTTCAAGGAAATGGTTTTTATCACTTGAGTCCTCAGGAAGGAAAGTCACTTCGGGAAAAGGGGAACTTTAGAGAGGAAAGACAGAAAAAAATTGAGAAAATAATAGCCAAACACTTTTCTGATCTGGGGCAGGAGGCAGACAGCAGGGTATAAGAATACTAGAGGCACCGTATTTGGGTCAGCAGAAATAGACCTCAACACAAAGAACCTTACCAGAGAAACTGAGTAATGTTTCATGACTCAACTCACCAAGAAGACATAAAGTTATCAATGTTTTCTGACTTAATAATTAGAGGTTCAGAAAGTATACAGTGATTAGATGTGACTTCAGCAAGTAGCAGACCCAATTTGATGAAATTAAGGACATAAATAAACATGCCATAAGAACTAGAGATTTCACACCCCCTTTCCAGCAATTGATAAATCAGATAAAAATATCAGTTAAAGTCCAGGTGATATAAGCAATATTATCGACCATTATGATCTAATTGATATTTATAAAACATTACAATCAACAGATGCAAAATATACATTAAGTGTACATGACACATTACCAAGGTTGACTATTTGCTAAGCTGTGGAACAAATGTCAGTGGATCAAATAGATTGAATACATTGTTCTTTGATCATAAATGAATTAAATTCATTATCAAAAGCAATAAAGTAAATAGAAAACTCTTAGGTCTTTGGAATTATTCTACAGATTAAAAAAAAACATTTTCTTTAAGATTTATTTATTTATGCATACAGAACTGGGGTACAAGCCAGAGGTGCAGGGGAGGTGAGAGGATTCACCAGAGACAGAGTGGGGAGCAGAACAGGCAGATAGACGAAGTACACTGCTGAGGGGAGCAGCGGGCAGGTCAGGAGAGGTCTGCTGCACCATGTGGGTCACCTCAGGGGCCAGGTTTCGAACTCACACTGAAGCTGCTGCAGCTTGTTTGCAGTCCTAACCCATTGTGCCACCAGACAGGGCCCTATTCTACAGACTTTTGGGAATTTTTTAAAAAGATGTATTCATTTATGTATAAGGCAGGCAGAGATTGAACTCATGCGGAAGTGACTTTAGCTTCTTAGTGCAGTGCTTTAACCCGCTGCGCCACCAGGGAGGGGCCCTATTCTACAGACTTTTAAGTAATCTTTTAACAAAAGGAAATCAGGGGCTCTTCCTGGTGGCGCAACGGGTTAAAGCACTGGTGGCGCAACAGGTTAAAGCACCACATTATGAAGCTCTCTGAAGCCACTGCAGCATGAGTTCGATCCCTGGCCAGGGTAGGTGACCCACATGGTGCAGCAGACCTCTCCTGACCTGCCCGCTGCTCCCTCAGCAGTGTACTTTGTCAATTTGCCTGTTCTGCTCCCCACTCTGTCTCTGGTGAATCCTCTCACCACCCCTGTACCTCTGGTCTATACCCCAATTCTTTATGCATAAATAAATAAATAAATCTTTTAAAAAAAAGGAAATCATACAGCAAATCAGAAAATATTTTAAACACTTGAGTGGTAACAAGACTGTAAGTAATCAAACATTTTCAGATCACAAAGAGCACCATTCATAGAGATATCTTTAATACTCAATGTTTATTTTATATATTTTAAAATATTTATTTATGTAGACAAGAACTAGGCTACAAGCCAGAGGTGCAGGGGGTGAGAAGATTCACCAGAGACAGAGTGGGGTGCAGAACAGGCAGATTTACTGAAATACACTGCTAAGGGGAGCAGCAGGTAAGACAGGAGAGGTCTGCTGCACCATGTGGGTCAGCTCCCTGGCTGGAGAACTAACTTATAGTGAGAGCTGTGAGAGCTTTACAGTGCTGTGCTTAATCCCTTGTGCCAACAGGGAGGCCTCTCAATGCTTATTTTAACAAAGACCTACAAGATAGGGCTTCATGCTTCCCACAAGGAACTAGAAAAAAGGTAAACCAAAAGTAAATTGAAAGAAGGAAATTACAAAAATAAAGAAAAAAAATCAATGGAAGGGAAAATAGCCAATAATAGAGAAAATTCAGAGACAATATTTGATCCTTTGAAATGATCAACAAATTAACGCAACTATAAGTAAATTGTAAATAAAGCTTATTTAAACAAATAGCTTTATATGGACATTATCTAGTTACTTGCGAGGGCGGCATGCTTGGCAGGCCGAATGTTCCATTTTCCTAGAATCACCCTTCAGCTCCTTGCTTGATTACTAACCTTCTTGAATTTCCTATAGATACCAAAGTAAATATATTGATTGAAAATTGTTCTTAGCTTCCACAGTGTAGTGTCCCAAAACAAAACCAAGAGAAGGAAAACAAAGCCTGTGATACTCATTATAATCAAATACTTTGCAATCATTTCCTTTTCCAGAGAATAAACATTCCTTGAAGTATCTAAGAGTGGCAAAAAAAAAAAAAAAAGGCAGTATCTTAGCATAAAATATTGACAATCTGAATAGGCCTAAGAATAACAAACAGGAAGAAATATAGGATAAGATCAAATATTAGGTTAATTTGACACAAGGATTTAAAGAAATGATTACCCCACTACGCAATATCCATTTCAATAATGAATTTTGAAGGCTGACCTTCATGAATATAATAGGTTGCAATCAATTGTGTATGTGAATGTTAATTTTTCATTGGTATGTCTAGTAGTTATTGTATGCTTAAAAAAATATGTCCCAAATACTTTCAGACATGTGAAGCCATCAATTGAAAATTAGAAAAAAAATTTAAGCTCAAAAGCTCATGCAGAAATCTTGAAAAATAATTTACCATTTCTATTATCATCTCAATAACAGTAAAAAGGATCACCTAAAATTGAAAAATTATTTATGGTTAAAAAAAAAAACCTAACCAAATACAGTATCGAAAGAAATCTCTAATCCAGGAAAATGGGATAACTCTGAACCCATTGCTGTCCCATAAGAACTGTATAATATAGGCCGCATAGTTTCATTTAAAAATAGGCTCTCTGAATTGGCATGAAACTGGATGGCTGCTCTCACCACTTTGATTCAACTTGAACTATATATCCTTGACAGAGTAGTATGTCAAAAGCAAGAAACAAATGTATATGGATAGAAAAGGACACGGTTCACAGCTGCTTTGAATGTACCTCTTGGGAATGAAAAGTCACATATAAGCTGTTAAAATTAATAAAGTAATTTAGTAACTTCAAAATGCAAACTTATTCTATATCAGCAATACACAATAAAAATGACACTTCAGTGACAGGACTTATAGTAACATCAAAAGATATATAGGAATAAAGCTAAACATATTTCCAGTACTTCTAAAGCAACAATTACTAAGCACTATTAAATAAAAGGTGGAAGATTTATATGATCTGAAAAGAAACCAGAGTATAAATATAAAGATGACCTAAGTAAGTACCTAAATAGTTAGAAAATAAATAAGTAAAGGAAATCCACAGAATGTAAAACCAAAAATTGTAGTCATTAAATCTCTCAAAATTGTTTTAAGAAATTAAAGCAAGTTCAAAAAAAAAATCCAATTAGATTTTTTTTATGTGAAGGAAAGTTATTCTTAAATGTATTTGGAATTACAAAGCATCCAGATATAGCCATGTTCTAATATCAAAACTTACTGCAAATTAGTCAAGGTGGGGGCTGTACTGGAAAAAGGATAGAAACATGGATCAATGAAATATAATTGAGAGATCAGCTACAAACCCATACTTGACTGGGTCAATTCAATGGGGGAAACAAATACTTTTTTTTTTTTTTTTAACAAATGGTGCTGGAATAACTGGATGTCCATTTACAAAAGAACAAAGAAAGAAGCTATCACATGCCACATATAAAAGTCAGTTAAGCAAGTCAAACATCTAAATATGACTACTAAAAGTACAAACCTCTTAGAAGAAAACATTGGGGTAAGTCTCTGTGCCCTTTGAGTAAGCAATGACTTCCTTGCTATGACAATTAAGTAGACAAGCAATTTAGTCAAAGAAACAATAAACAAACCAGAATTCAAAAAATTACTTTGCATCAAAAGACATTATATCAAGGAGATGTCACATTCTCCCAAAGGAGAGAAAATATTTGAAATTCAAGTATCAGTGAATGGAGCCTAAATTCAGAACATTCCAAGACTAATGGCCCAAATCAGAAATGGGCAAATGTGACTTCTCCCCTCAGGTATACCGTCCCAAAATTAACAATGTTGTAAGAAAAAGGCACATCATCAAAAGTAAATTTTAAAAAGGGAAAAAATAGGTAAATAATTTGAGTAGACACTTCTACAAAGATCTAGGAATGGACAACAAGCATATGGAAAACACTCAACTTCATTTGTAACTAGAGAAATATAAACTAAAATAAAGATGAGATGCAATTTACCACCTGCTAGAAAGGTTATAGATTTCAGAAAAGTGAAACAATTACTGGAGAGGATATGGAGAAAGTGGAAACCTCCTTCACTGCTGTACAGTAATTGTCTCTGCTTCCATGGAGACTCTAAAGACCATGGTTTCATGCCAATAGATTTCACAGGCAATGTTTCTTCTCCATTTTTTCTTGTCCCACTCTCTGTTTAAAGTTACATAGTTGACAGCTGTGTGAATGCTAAGCTTCCCTTGAGCCACTGGCTGCTCAATGACCTTGAGACTGAGATGAGATTGAGGCTAATTTCTAGGTAGGATCTGACTTACTATGATTCCTGCCTTTTTCACTCTGCCGTTCTTGCCAATGAAAGACCATAAGCTTTGAAATCCCAGTTCTGGCCTATAAAACTGTGACTTAGGCACAACAAATATAGTAAGTTGTGAGAGTATAAAATACTGTACATAAGGTTATCTGCAGTTGATTATTAGTGATCTTATTTCTATATTTGATGACCGCTTAAAAATCCTCTGGATTTGTTTCTGAGGCTTTATAATATTTACACAGGGTTTTCCCCAGCCTTGTGGGACTGAACATGTGTCTTGACTTTCTTCTTAGAAATCAGGGCAGATTTTCTTTATGTCTCAATGTATAAGGTTGCAGCTAATTTCCTAGACACTTAGGCACCCCCCAGAGACTTACGTGTTTCTTTACAATTTAACTGGTCAGGAGCTTGTCTTATGATGCACCCTCTCTTCTTCTGGTAGTAAGCAAAATAGTAAGCGATGCATTTCCCAAGGTTGTAATTGGGAAAGAGCTTTAACAAATTAAGCATGAAGGTTCTGGTAGCATTTGACATTCTATGTTGCATTTCTAAAAAGATGATAAGATTAGGTTTCATGAACTATCTCCAGGAATTGAACTATCTCCAGGACAACAAATTCCCCACTGATGAGGAAACCAAGCTCAGGAAATTAAAGATCAGGTCATTATCTTTGAAGAACACTGATTACTTTCCAGTAAGTTTGTTCTAGTTAGCCAGTGACACAGTTTTTGTGTTGATTAATATCAGGGTTCTGAAGTGGGTGTCCTTTAAAGTCTTGTTGGCATGTGACACAAACAGGAAATCATTACTGTCTAGTTTTGGATCTTAATTGACTGCTAAGGGGGTAAAGGAGAAGAATCTTAGGATCCAACTGTAGGGGAAAATTCTGACATATTTCTGAGTAGAAAAATCTTCAGAGAAACTAGCTGATAGACAACTAATGTTTCTTCAAAGGACCCATTAAAAGAGAGTGAGTTCTCAGAAATATAAACATGCTTCATTTATGAATTGCCACTACAGAATCTTGATATTGAACTCAGTTTTGGGGGAAAAATATAAAAGATTTGTCTAAATAGAAAGTTCACATAAGACACTTGGGGTAGAAAGCAGTGAAATCTCAAGTGCGAAAGCCAATTCTGTGTACATTTTCACTTGACAGAGACAAACAGTTGTTCCAGATTTAACAATTCTTGTTATTACTAGAACATCTGTTTAATAGGACTTTGCATCACATCGGAAAAGGTCTTAAGTTTCACTAATATCCACCATGTTATTACTGAGCACTTGAGGTGTGGCTAATGTGATTATGGAATGGATTTTAAGTTATACTTCATTTCAATAAATTTAAAGTCACGTGTGACAAGTGGCTATTGTATTACCTATTGTGTAATATCTTTTGGCCTCTCTCTGTTGCAATCTTAAATATCCTCTCATCTCCAAAAAAGGTGAGGAAGATAAACAGAATATTTCGATCTGACAAAATGATGACTGGCACCTTCACGGGTGGGGAAAAATTAAAAAATGAGAAGATAAGCAATTAAAAATAATTTTCATCTAGCACAGAATGGCACTACTCTTCAACGAGTCAATAATTCTCAAGGGCAACTGCGCCACATATATCTAAAATCAAGAGCAGAAGATTCCTAAAGTCATGTGGTGGAGCTATCAGATATGGGGACGAAAAGGAGGCATTTTGTGAAGCCCTTGCTCTTACCAAATACAAACATGGTGTCTATGAGGAGACCAAAGATTCCTGAAAGGTAGTTGAATAGGGCAAGCTTGATGTAGGCAGAGGAGCTCGTAGTAAACAGGAAGCTCAGCAGGTACATGAGGGGAATGGCAGACCAGCCATACAGCATTAAGATCAGCATTGTGTCCAGAAAGTGGTAATCTATGACATATAAGTCCAACTGGCAGAATTTGAGCACTCCCTGAAACACAGGGGGTACAGATATACTGGCAAAGTGAAGGGCACATGAAAACACAATCTAGTTAGAAATACTGGAGAACAGTAGAGGCTCATCTTTCTTAAAATCTTTCAATAATTAAAGCAATTTTATTATTTAAAAAAAGCTGCAGCATAGGAGTATGGAAGTAAGTTAACACCTCCTCTTCATGAGAGGACAGACCAGTGAACAGAGCCACAAGTCAGTGGCTTGGAAAAGTTTTAACTCATGAACAAGTTCAATAAACTTCCCTTCAATAACCTTAATTCTCAGCTTTTCCAGAAAGAGGTGAATAGTCTTATGTAAAGACAGTATTTATCCAAAGATGCTTCCACTTATTACATAACTTACTTGTCATCTCTGTTTTCAAACTGGGTCTCCAGGTTCAAGTCTACTCCCTCAAGTCCCTTCACACCACCCAAGTAACTCTTGAATATCTTTCTTAAATTTTCTGAGTTAAATGGAAGTCAGGCAGTAAAAAAACATTGGAGGGCCCTTATTTGGATGAATGGTGGTACAGAGGAACCTATAGTTGCCAAAGGAAATACATATCTGGAAATCTGCATCTCACTAGAAATGAAGTGCAGTTTCTGCACAAATGGTAGGGTTCTTCCTTCAGGAAATTACATAATTATGTAATAGCAAAACCAATAGGAAGGTTACACTAGGAATGTCATTATACAACTGATGGTGTCTTGGTGGTGGTAGTCATAGCAATAAAGACAACCAGTAAGTAGAGCAGATTCATAGTTGAATCCACTATCTGGAACTACAGTTATTTTGTTTCCGAGCAAGCATACTGCAAACAGAATAAATACAAAGTATTTTTTTCCAGTGCAGGCATATGAGAGACTCTTTTAACCCTAAGAGTTTTACAATATATTTTCTAAGCTAATGTGCAAAGAGTTTTCAGCAAAGTTAAATTTATGACATAGTTAAATAAGAAGACAAAAAGATTTTTCAAGCAACTTTAGCACTTACCAGTAGTAAGCAACAGGTAATGAAGAAGATAATGAAATCCCACAATAGAGCAGAGAGCCAGTACACAAGGACAGGGACCCCACTCATAAACTGGATATGTTTTGCTTTAGAGACTCTCTCAGTCACTGTCAGGAGACAAAAGCCACTGATCAAAACAGCCATGCCAAAATGCATATTTAAGGCCACCTGGTGTCCATTTGTCATCCTACAGAAGGAGCCAAAAAAGATCTATCAGAAATTCAACACAGTAGAAAATACAGTTTCCTATCAATAGCTGTTTTTAAGTCATATTAACATGTCAGATAAGGTGGGAGAAATGCGTTAAAAGGGTAAAATGGGCCCTCCTTGGTGGCGCAGTGGGTGAAAGCACAGCCCTGAGAAGCTAAAGCCACTTTCTCATGAGTTCGATTCCCGCCTGCCCTGGAGGTGACCACATGACGTGGCAGACCTCTCCTGACCCGCCCGCTGCTCCCCCTCAGCAGTGCACTTCGTTGATCTGCCTGTTCTGCTCCCCACTCTATCTCTGGTGAAGCCTCTCGCCACCCCTGAGCCTCTGGCCTGTACCCCAGTTCTGTATGCACAAATAAATAAATCTTTAAAAGGGTAAAATGCACTCTCACAAAAATAGTAGCATACCTTAAATAGTTTTCTCTATCATGAAAACGTGGCTGAGGTTTATTGAAGGCTGTTAAGGAGGCCTCAGGGCCAGAAACAACCTTGAAAAGAATGTTGTCTACCATCGCCAGGCTGAGAGCTGGTGAGTGGTATGCTTCGTTGTTGAACAGAGCAGTAACCGTGATTTGACTCTGCTTTTCCTCTATGGAAAATGCAACAATGCAGAAGTGAATACAATCTTCATTCTCCATCAAGTATTTTACCAGGTCACCTAGAATGTGGACACAACATTGATCAGTTTATCCACAATACAGATCACCCATAGTGTATGTTGAGGAGCAGGAGCAGATGACTTTACTTTCAACTTTCTCATGATTCTCTCAAACATTTGCCCTTCTCCTCATGCTCTTCACTTCATGATTACATTGCCAAGTCCTCTCACTTCATCATCTATAGCCTCAATTCCTACTTAACCAGGAAAGCACAGGCAATGTGGTATAGACTCTCTCAGTCTACTCTTCTGGCTTATGCTGCCATGTAAGTATTTCAACTTAAAGCTTTTTTTTTTTTTTTCAACTTAAAGCTTTTATTACTAAGCTTAAAGCAGGAAAAAAATCCTTCTGAAAAAATGGAACAAGTAAGAAATGATGTCTTTGAAGGCATTACATGTCTAGGGAAACAATCAACATTTGGAAATGTGTTGAAGTTGATGAAATATTCTTTATTCCTCTTTCCTTTGAGGCATTTATAGATTTATGAATGGTGGAGGTGAAAAGTTCATTTTAAAGTTGATATGAAAATCAGAGGAATTAAAATGAATTTGAAAAACAATAATAAAATGGGGAGGAACCAGGCCATCGAACTGCAAACATGGTATTGATGAAGGAACAAATATAAAGGTAAATGGACTAAAACAGAGAACACAAAATAGACTTATACGTGCCTCAGTTTTGATATAGTTGCAAAGAAATTAAATGAATACATAATTAACCAATCATTGCTGGAACAAATAGGCAGAAAATTTAACCATGATCCACACTTCACTTTATATTAAAATTAATGCCCCAAATGAAACACAAACTTAAATGTAAAATAGACTATGAATTTTAAACCTTCTAGTATAAAATCTTCAGGATCTAGGTTTGAGAACAGGTTTTAAAATAATACCAAATACATGGTACTATAAAATAAAAAAATTTGATTTCATCAAAATAAAAAAATTTTTGTTCTATATATACCTTTGTTAAGATGATGAAAAGACAAACAGTATGAGGGAAAATACAGAGGCAACTTTCAAAAGTTAACTGTAAAGAAAAGACATTGATTTAGAGAAGGAGCAAAAGACACAACACATTTTACTGAAGATGATATAGATATGATAAACACAAGAAAAAATACCAAAAAGCATATTAGAGAGATGCAAGTTAAAACAGCAAGGAAATGCTACTACTTAGCCACCATAATGGCTATAAAAAATAGTGACAGTGCCGGGGAAGATGTAGAGAAAGTGGGTAACTCATACTTGAAGATGGAATGTAGCAGGAGACTTATAAAGCTGGGTAGTGTCTTCTCAAACCAAACATGAAGCTCTGGTGCAAGCCAGCAATGAATGTAATTAATTATAATACTGGCACTTATCCCATAGAACTGAACACTCAGGTTCACACATAGCTGCAAAATTCCAGAAGTTTGGATCTTAACTGTATGAATGTCAAAATCCTGGCTGTGACTTTGTACTGTTTTTGCAAGATGATATCAATGGTTTACAGGAGCTCTCATTTATTTTCAGCACTGTAAATCTTTAATTATCTTAAAATAAAAATCTAATTAAAAAATCAGATATACTGTGAATGGTTTTACCCCCCTCCACCACCAGGAAGAAAACAAAATCTGTTTTTGTTTACTTCATCTGTCTGTGAAATCCATCTTCTTTCCTTCAGCCCTATTTTGTCCCAGGTCCCTATCTTCTCTTGCTTAGAGAGTCACAATTAGCGTCTGAGCTGCAATTTTTGACTCTACTCCCTCCCTTTATAAGTCTCTCCCTGACATTCAATTCAATTTGACAAAGTTCTATTTAATTATATGTGGCAGGAATTGGGTCAGGTTCTAGAGACAGGAAAGAAGTTCTTATTCTCTAAAATCTAGGTCAAGAGATAGATGAAAAATGTCTGATTCCATAAATGAAAACTTTTATTTCTTCTACCTTGAAAATAAATGTGTTATTAGGAGTTAGCCTATTAAGTCTCCATTGGTCCCATTTTAGATTAGTTTAGGAGATTGCCCATGTGGTTTGAGGATTTGGGACCACAATTTCCTACTACAGGGCCTGGTTCATGTGTTACATTACATTCAGGCCAGAACTTAAAAAAAAAGAAACCCCTCATGTATTTTGACTTTTTTTTTTTTCAACTTAAAGGGACAACACATATCTCCTGGACAATCCATAGTGGAAGTGCCTCCTCTGGTGTCTGCCTCTTTGTGACTAGAGAGGCAATGCCTTGATTCTAACATGGCTGCCTTTATAAGGCTGGTGACTCACAGGAAGAGTGGCAGTCACATACAGTAAGACCTTTGCAAGAAGCAACCAGATCTTCATCCAGGAGCAGTCCTTCTTTTTAAAAAAGATGTATTTATTTATGCCTACAGAACTGGGGTACAAGCCAGAGGTGCAGGGGCGGTGAGAGGCTTCACCAGAACAGTGGGGAGCGGAACAGGCAGACTTAGGAAGTGCACTGCCGAGGGGAGCAGCGGGCCGTGCCATGTGGGTCACCTCCGGGCCGGGGATCGAACTCGCACTGAGGGGACAACCTCCGACCTCCGGCTTGCCGTGCCGCGTCCTAACCTGCTGCGCCACCAGGCACGGCCAGGGCAGTTCTTCTTAATGAACCTCACCTTGCACTTCCTTAAGTGTCTGCTTTTCAGAATCCAGTATACTCTTAAGGTGCTGTGAGAACATCAGAGTGGTGTTAGAGCTCCCAGAGATAGATAAAGGCACGATGGTGTGGCCATATTGACCCAAATCCATCCGTCTGGCCTTCTCATTGTGTCTGCTCTGTGAAAATCTTTCAGCCTCTGAGAGAAAGGCAAAGGAGCCCAGAAGCGCCAGTATCTGTAGCAAAATCAGTTTCCGGTGGCGCCAGTTGAACATCGCCCTCTTTATGAACATGGCCCGGAACTGTTGGCAGTGGAGGGAACACTGCAGAGAGAAGCAGCGCCGTGTCAGTCACGCTGAGGTGCGTCCAGATAGGCACTTCAGCATTGTACAGAGGATACATGACGGTTATGTCAACACGCCCTTGGGACAGAACCTAAGCAGGACAAGACTGTAATAGCAAGAACAGCCTCTGTTCTCAGGAGTTGCTGCCCTAGGGCCTGGTGATGGAAACGGGGCGATGGCACCGCAGCTGTGCCAACCCCCTCCCGCCTTGTCAGTGGCCGGTTTCGTGCCACAGTGTCGGGCCTAGTGGTCACAGCACAGACCCTAAGATCCACAAAGTCTTATGTATTCATTATCACTTTACATTGTTTGCCAGCCTCTGCTCTAAGATATATTTTTTAAAGATTTATTTATTATTTATGCATACAGAACCGGGGTACAGGCCAGAGGCTCAGGGGCCGTGAGAGGATTCACCAGAGACAGAGTGGGGAGCAGAACAGGCAGATCGACGAAGTACACTGCTGAGGGGAGCAGCGGGCAGGTCAGGAGAGGTCTGCCGCGCCATGTGGTCACCTCCGGGGCAGGCGGGAATCGAACTCATGTGGAAGTGGCTTTAGCTACTTAGTGCTGTGCTTTAACCTGCTGCGCCACCAGGGAGGGCCACTGCTCTAAGATATTTTAAAAACTGTTTAAGGTCTGAATTTTACTTTAATGACTTAATTTATTTTCTTACATCGTTGTCATTTTTTTGTACAGTACTGGGCTGCCTGGCTCTGGTGCAGTCCCCCTAGTTCTCCCACCTCCACAGCACCCATGATCCGTCACCACAGCACCCTGTGCTCTTCCCCCGCCCCATTCTGGCTTCTCCCTCTTCTGTCCTAGGCCTCAGATCTACGCTCAGCTTGTCAGTTCTGTCATTTTCTTGCAAGGTCTGGCTTTTGATAAAAAACCTAAAATCTCCACTAGATGATTTTCCCCAGACTCCAGAGATGCAAGAAAACCAGGTGCTTTGTAGAAGAAAATTAGAGAAATGCTGCAACTGAAAGAGTCTTGCATGGAGGGTCATACTGTTTAAGAAACAATTCGCCATGCAAAAACTTAAAATATTGGGCGTGTGTGACTATTAAAAAATTATACCTATGGAGGAGTATGGGTGCTGCAGTGGTGCAGAGCTACGGTGACTAAACCTGACAGGGTAAATCCAATACTGTTGAAACACTAGGGCATAAAACAATGGTACTTCAATAACAATTTAAAAATAAAATTAGAATTGAAATTAAAATAACCTCAAATTTGTGCTCCCTGCAGCACACTCCAGTTTCAGTGAACTATGAAATTTCCGGGTTGTCAATTAAAAAAAAAAGAATTCTAAAACAAAAACTGAGCCAGGGAGTGAAACAGTGAGAGGAGCTTGTTCTCTATTATACCCGGTATCCAGACATCTGCTTTAGGGAGGCTGGTGCGGCCTGTGGCCCACAGTAGCCGAGGACCCCACGTTTCTCTGGTTCAGAGTTAAGACAGAGTGCACCTCCCGAGCCCTAATCCAAACACCAGGTTCTTAGTACAGGCGCTTACCCCAGTGTTATAGTTCACCGCAGGGCTTTCATGCACAGTCAAAAAAGCCCTCTCATTTCTGGACATATTCCTATCCTGGTTCGTGATGGAGCTGTCGTTCCGGAGGGAGGGCTGTTGAGGGTGGGAAGTTTGGCTATTTGTCTGTGAATACTCCATATTACTGACCCTATATATTAAAAAAGAAAGAAAGAAAGAAAGACAGTGAAAAGCATCTCATTTCTCAACACGATCCCCAGATAGCTTCTTTGGAGAATAGAGAGTTTGCTACTGATGGCAGCAGCAGCATATTGGGGCAACGTGGTGCCCACAGTGGAAGTGGGGCTCCCAAACCCCACAGAAGTGCTGCTGTGCTCTAGTGCAGCAAGAAAAACAAGGGCATTGTGATGAGTGTTTCATTACGCTGGGTTCAGTCACATCCAAGATTACTGGAACAGACCCATTCTTTCATCAAGTGGTGATATTTTTTCAATGTTCTTATAGTGAAAAAACAAAACAAACAAAAACCCAAAACCAAACCGCAGGTCCTTTCTTCCATCCACCCACCCACAAACCTGCCCCAAATCTCCTATTTTTCTAGAAGTGTGAATGAATCGGAAAGTCTGATGAGCTTGCAAAGGGGAATAAGGTACTGTCCTCTCTCCCCCAGAGGTTTCTGCTTTTCCGCACAGTATTGCTCACTTCAGGAACACCTCTTCCATGGTGGTGATGAAAGCACCAAAGTTAGCGATGCCCAGTTCTTTCTGTCTCTGCTCCAGATCAGTAAACAGAGCCTTAAAGCTAGAAGAAGACAGGAAAGGAGCAGGGGGAGGGGCGGGAAAGAATAGAAAATGCCAAATTAAAAGATTTTCACACTTACATTCTTTCATTTTAAACTGATTTCCCTGAAGCATTGGAAAATGAGCCAACCACTGTGTATCTCTGAGGATACATAACTAGAATTTATTTCCAGCTCTCCATATTTTTTCTTTCGTTCTAGCTTATGATTGGGGTCTTGTTTCTGTTACACTGTCTGATTATTATGCTGCTTCTCAGAAACTTCAGGTCATTACTGAATAAAGTAAGCCCAAGCATACTGTTCTTCTTTCTTTTCTTCCTTTTAGATACATTCTTCTATTTCCCAGGAAAGGTGAAGTAATTAATATTTTTTCTTGAATATGACAACTATTTTGAATTTAGGGACTACCCAATGTAAGTACTTGAGAAAAGAAGTTAAACATAGCAGAGACTGGCATTTTTCCTGATGAGTATTCTTAGTTTCCATTTTCCATGTCGAGGATGGTTATCTCTGATAAAGATACTATTCTGTACTATTGCTTTTGATGAATAATTTGATTAACTAGTGCAATCAAACTACTTCCTTTTGGTTCTTGTCCCTCTGGTTATGAGCTAGCACTACATAAATTCTCATCTAGCTTCTCAAAAATTGGTAGAGACAATTTTTAGTCTATCAACTTCAGACCATCAGTTATCACCAATTACAAGTATAATAAGTAGACAGCACCCCTTGTCACAGTGCAAGCGGCTCTGTGACTGGAGTTCTGCCTTGCAAAATAGAGTCCACCAATATATCCCGAGGAAACCAGGAAAACAACAAGGATTTCTGTTATCTGAAAATAAATGATTTGGCATTCCTGGAATCCATACCTGTGTGTATATTCTTTAGGCAGAATAAAAGATAATTCATTCACATTATTCTTCTCCAAAGTGGCTGTTGGCACATGATTATTAATCAAATAGGATATTTCTTCAACATTACAATGAGGCTCCTTCACCATGACCATGTGATATCCCACACCTGATAAAATCAATTTATAAGAATAGTAAAACAATTTTCTACTTCATTTATACATATCTATACTTTTTAAAAAAGTACACTTGGCATTCCATGGTATGGGTGAGCTAGAAGAAGATAGGGCAGATCACAAATAATTTGACTTTAAGTCTAAGAACCAAACAAATACTTTTAAATGTAGTTTTATTGATTTTACTAGGGACCAAAGAACCATTGTGTAACTAGATAAAAGTGGAGAACAAAGAAAGCCTCTGTCATTTGAACTCTTGCAACTAATAAGATTGAAATCTGCAGACAAGATTAAAATTAATTAACTATATATTGATTGGATGCCTATTATATGCAAAGCAGAAGATGTATCAGATATAAATCCCTGTTTCAGAGATCTGAGAGGTCTTTTCGGGGCACTTGGCATCTTTGTTAGTGCACAACATTTGTTTTGTGGAAGCTGGGGGTGGAGCGGATGGATAATAAGAGGAATCCCTTGGGGCACTCTGGGAATTTGTGGAAAACACTGACTATGGCATTCTGCTAGCTCAGGGTGGGAAAGAAGAGCTGAGAGAAATCACCCTGGGATGCATTAGTCGTTCACTGAAGTGGCCCTTGGAAGACTCATTGCGAAAGGACAGAGTACACAGGTATCACTTAAGGTGAATAAAACTGCATAAATGGAGAGCAGAGGATATGTTAGAACAAAAAAAGGTGGAAAGTGGATGATAGCTCATCGAGGGCCAAATAATTCCAGTCATGTACAGATCCCAAGCTCTGTTAAGAGCAAAGTTCTGAGGTTTAAACATGGATGACCTGAACACTTTCTTTTCTGGGAATAAATATCAATTGCTTTAATCTATATTTTTATATTATTCAAAATGTCAGTCATACAAAAACCATGCAGATAAGTCAGAGAATATAATCATAAACATGATGGAAAATCAAAAGGAACAGACATAGTGATACTTTCACATAAACACAAAATTGTATTTCTAGACCTTAACTCAGGAAGTGGAGACACATGATTTAATTGAAGCTAATTCAAAGCAACCATCATGAAGTTGTTCTCTAAAGTGAGAATAATGCATGAAAACACAGTGAAATTTAATAGAAAACATGAAGCACCAAAAGAAGTTATATATCTGGATAATATCTGAATTGAAACATTCATTAGAGGGCTTCAAAAATATAAAGTAAAGCAATATACACAATATGGGAGTCTTATAAGAAAATGAAAGAAATAAAGTTTATGCAAAGAAATAATGGCTGAGAACTTCCCAACCTGCAGTCAATCCAGGCAACTAATGATCTGACTTCTATCAGTATAGATTGATTTTACATGTTCTAAAATCAATGTCAATAAAAGAATATAGGGAACTTTCTTTTGTATTTGATTCTTTCCATCAGTGTTTGTGAGATTAATGTTCTTGCATGTATCAGCAGTTCATTTTATTGCTAATTAGTTTTCCACTGTGTGACTATATCACACTTCATGATGATCACTGGTAAATCTACTATAAATATTCTATATAAACCGTTATATGACATATGTTTTCACTGTTCTCGGGTAGGAATGTAAATGCTTAATTTTACTTAAACCATGAAGTTTTTAAAAAATGTTTATGCTATTTTACTTTTTCATAAGCAAAGTCTATAATATTTTCAATTACTTACACTTGGCAT